ATCTCGAGGAAACGTTCGAGACGGACCTGGACCGGCACATTAAGCTGTTCGACGAGGTCGAGAAGACGCTGGAGCGAGAGAACGCACGACTCATCGACACGCCAGACGACTACAAGACGTTGACCCGAAACGTAGAGAAGCTCGGCGACAAGACGATCGTCACCAACCGCACCGTCGTCAAGCATACCCTGCACAACGGCAAGGGTCTCTCAATACTCGAAGAGCAAGAGGTGACGCTGGACGATAACAAGGTATACGATTCGATCTCTCTGTACGAAGAACGAATGCCACGAATGAAGGCACTCGCCAAGTAGCGTTTCCATGGTTCTGTCGCCGCGCGCATTTACATAATATACGACACAATACATTGATCGGTTGCATTAGCGTTACACGTTCCTCGTGCGGCTGGATATTTTGCTGCTTTTAATTAAGTATAGCACTTTTAAAAGGAACCATTTTCTTTTGGACATGAATGAATGCAATATATACATGCGCATGGTAAGTTTCATGAAACGACTCGGTGTTTCCTTTGGTTTCATCAGACTGGTTATACTTTATTGAAGGAAATTAGCGACTGCACAACGTCGGCTGGTTGGTGCGTGATTAAAATAGTTTCGTGTTTCACTTAGGCAAAACCGCTATTCTCGCTACAGTAGTTTTTCTACCATATCCTCTCCAAAAGCGCGGCCAGGCTGGTTGGTATATCGATCTCCATATAAGCCTTTTAAAATCCCCGGCACTTCCTTCACAGCCCATACAGTGTGTAACGTTAGGCGTAGACAAAATAAAGCCCAATAATGCGATCAGTCGTAAAGACGATTTTATTACGAACCACTTCAATGCGAAAATCAATTTCCACTTAGCTCACATTAATTAATACCGTTGTAAATGATTTGCAAACTCCTATATAATGTCGGTTTCATCAATACAGTCGCACGAATGCCTATTTACAGCGCATAATAGGGTGTCTTTACCCCCGGATGTGGGCGGAACAACTACGGTGATTTATTGGCTTCGAGTTTATCATAAATTGTTTGTGATAACGACTGGAATCATTACCAACATGGCTGTTTCGACCGCGATGAGCGTATATATGTCTGTAATGCACATCTGTCTGATAAGGAGGACGTATTATTATAGGAAATCGGTAGATTGCGTGACAACTGAACCACCTTAAATAACGTCTGCATTCCTTAAAGATAATATGAAACATGGCTGTCGTGTTTTCTACGCGTTCAAACTACATATTTATGAAAATCGGGTTTTTCGTTGACATGTTAAAGCCATAGAAATAGCCGTTTTATTGATCACACTTTACTTTCGTGCTATAAGAAATCGGGAAAATTTATTTGCGATCTATAGAGATGTTTTTTCAATTAACCATGTAAAATGTTATCATAAGCACAAATACACACAGAACTTCGATTTAAATTGCCTACTATGCGTTATAAATATAAAAAAGAGAAGTATTAGAAATAAATATGCGTTATTGCATATGACCGTGGAATAAAGTTGATAGACTGCGTGCGTATATATATATCCTTATATTCCCAGTTTTATACGTCGGTGTATCGGCCCTAACGTAGCGTAATATAATGTAACGTTGCATAACGTAGCGTAGCGCAGCGGTATCTAACGTAATATAGCATAACGTTGGAGACGACATGTTGCTTTACCAGCGTACATGCGCATAGAATAGGTGGACAAATCCCTCCTATTAGAGGCACTCGGTTGAATTGTCCGTCATCGACTATCATGTCAACGCGCGTATTAACGGAATCAGACAGTTACCGCGAATCACTTCGACTAGCTTCCAGGACGGAAATGATGGAAATTGCACTTCGTCTCGATAGCTTTCGGTGAATCGTGGCAAATTTTGACAGGACATGAGGGTTTTTCAGAAAATGACTTCGAGTAAGTAGTGCGTCGCGGTTGCCTCAAAGATGCATTGAAAGTTTGCCATTGATAGCGTGCAACATGATTTCGTTTCGTGTCGATGCGTTACTGTTTGATTTAATGGACTTCTTTTGTCGTATTGCACGGTGCTTGTATCTGGTCTGAATTCGTCATAGATAGAGAAAATTATCGACGGCGGAACGCCGAGCCTTCGATTGCCTACACTGATCGTATCCATCATTTAGAAATTCGTTTATATGTACGATCGCTCGGAACTTGGGCAGAATTATTTACGATTAATGTTCCGTAACGCGCATGGAAGCCATTATCGTATGAGATTAACATATTTAAGAATCGAAACGATGTCTAGTCGAATCGAACCGATGTATATGTCAACACAGTATCCAACTCAACAGCGACGCTGGGGGAAATTGAGGCATCAGTATGCCTATCGCCAGATGTTTGAACTCCAGGTCACAGCGGTCGCTTTATTTAGGTTTAAAATGTACGTGCATAGCTCTTTCTATTCTCTCTTTCCCTTCTCTCTCTTACTTTGTTATTCCACTCTGTCTTTTTTTTCTCTCTCTCTCGATGTTTTTCTCATTGTTTTCCTCATTTTGCGTGTGTGTGTGTGTGTGTGTATATGCGTGCGTGCGCGCTCGTGTGTATCTGCGTGCGTGTGCGTGACGCTTTAAGGCCCTTAACGTGCCTGCTCTCTGACCTTTTCCCCGTCTTTCTTTCTCTTCACTCTCCCTCTCCGCTCTCGCATTCTCCACCACACCTTTCACTCTGGTTGGCTTGCTCTCTGTCTGTTTGTCGGTCTATCTTTCGTTTTAAGCAAGTAATCTTTGCCCGTATATAACTATTGGAATATTATATCCCCACGCGTGCCAATAAAAGTGAGCAATAGTCCAGAGTTGCGTGCTGCTCGCTTCATGAAATATGTGCGCAGCACTTATAGTTTAGAGGCAATCGAGCAAAGGCAGAGTAGAGCGTTCGAAACGTCACTCCATTATGCCGGCATATTTTAAGACGTCTCCCTTGCGGGCGATTGATGCCGAGATGTTTTCCATCCGGTCATCAATAATGTTAAGATTATTGGAAAAAAGCAAAAAGATAAAATCCTATTGCAGTGATCAGACAAAACCATGAGTGATTAGTGCTTGCAGCACGCGGCCCATGCACCATCATTTGCATGTTTGCGCAAAAATACAAAAACCCGTAATAACTGCCTTTCGGTGAACAATTCGGGAGAATGTTTTCCTTGAAATCAGATCGCCGTGATATATTTCGGAATCGCTATGCTGTCCATGTTACGGACCCGAGCCACGCACCATCTCTACGCGCTCGAACTCTTAACGTGCGCTGCCGTAAAATTGATATTTGTTTCGATCACGAATTTAGGTCTCTCTCTCTACGCTAATATTTCCTCGATTGTTCAGCTCGAATCAAAACTACACCCACCAACTTCGAGTGCCAGCCGATGATTGCCTTAAACTATAGTCATGAGAGCCGATATGGAAATCTGACAAAATTCGTCCTCGTGGTGGTGGCTCCCAGACCGTCGGTTCTGAGCAGGCGGAGGGTTTCACGTGCTTATCGTCCGCCATCTTTCATAGACGGACGCGGAGGCACATGCTTATCAATAAACCGCAATATCCTGACTAACGTCGCGCGAGGAGCCGTGCGAGCGCTCGTGGACGCGGCAATATATAGAAAACGGAGAATTCTCTGCGGGAAATAAACGTGATTGAGCGTCGACAAACCGTTTGCGCAGGACTTAGCACGCCGCGCAATCAGAGCGGGACGGAACGAGGCGTGTATTCTAATGCATGCCTCGACGACTTACACTCGCGCTGGAGTCTGAGGAGCCAGAGGAGTCTGAGCCTCGAGTATACGGGCCATACGTCTCACTAAAACCAAAGACTAGATAGGAAAATTGTTAATCCCATCTTAACCGATTGAGCACCGTACTGCTACTATACGACTAGGAGATCATAGACTACTACGAGCCCTTCTATGTACAGAGATAAAAGCGGCAGTGAAAGAGGCCGCATGCTGTGATTGAAATTACTGATACGTATGCATATATATTAATCTTTGACGAAAGATTCGGGTGTTATGTAAATTGTGTAGATTTTTACAGAATGATCTGATTACGGTGGATTAATGGGTAGTTACTTTTAGTGAACGTTGATCGGGTTTACCTCTGCGGTCAACTGGGAATAATTTCATCTTCATCATATCGTTCTAGCTCCGGAATATTCGCGTTGAATTCTATGAAACCCCGGACGTAGAGGTTTTTTGATAAACGCATGACTTTATCAAGCAAAGTTTTAAACTATTAGTTACATATATATCAATATATTCCATTGAGGTCTTTCCGGTAAGGTTAGACCAGATAAATGATAGATGAGAATATATGATAGACAAAAAATGTTTGTAGGCGGCGTTATGGATGGGTGGACGGACGGATGGACGGATGGACGGACGGACGGACGGATGGACGGATGGACGGACGGATGGATGGATGGATGGATGGATGGATGGATGGATGGATGAGTGGATGATGGATGGATGATGGATGGATGGATGGATGGATGGATGGATGGATGGATGGATGGATGGATGGATGGATGGACGGATGGATTGATGGATGGAGGGATGGATGGACAGGCGGATTGATGGCAGGGTAGATAGCTGGGCTGCCGGACAGACGAACGGACTGGCAGGCGGACGGACGGAGGGGCCGGAGGATGGGTGGATGGATGAATGGATAAACAGATTTACGTATTGATTTATACATACACAGCAATATACTTTGACAGCGAGACAGCGAGCTAGCTACACAGCTATAGAATATCGGTCAATATCGGTCAGTCGACTGAGTAGTTGGGGCGATCAGTCGGCCGGTTGGACGGTCGTCGGTTGGTTCGGCTGTCGGTCGGCCCGTCGGTCGGTCCGTCGGTCGGTCGGTCCGTCGGTCAGTCGGTCGGTCGGTTCGTCGATTCGTTGGTCCGTCGGTCCGTCGTCCGTCGGTCAGTCGGTCAGTCTGGTCCGGTCTCGGTCGATCGGCCGTCGGTCGTGTCGTCGTCGGTCGGTCGCGTCGGTCGGTCGGGTCGGCTCGCGGTCGGTGCGTCGTGTCGGTCGTCGCGTCGGTCGGTCGTCGCGTCGGTCGCTCGGTCGGTCGGTCGGCCGGCCGGTCGGTCGGTCGGTCGGTCAATCGGTCGGTCGGTTGGTCGACTGGAAGACAGCATTAACACGTTAGTGCATACATTTGTGTACCTATGGTTTGCGCGCGCTTACGCGATATAACTTTTTTCAACTTCAGCAACCTTTCGAAAATCACTTTTACCAGAGCAAAGACCTTCTGAGCCGGCTTACTCATAGAACTCTCTACGACACCAACCTTCCCAAGCAGAAAGCGAAATCCACGGCGGTTACTCCAAATGCCAACAACGTCTCACAAAATGTCGACAAAAGCAATCCCTCTTCGACCGAGCTGAAGTTCGACGCGACAGGAAAGGGAGAGGAAACTGCTGACGGAGAGAACGTCGCGTCAACGTCAAGTCAGCGGTTACCAGCAGAGAAACAGTTCACAATCGAGAAGTGAGACCTAACAACCATTTTGGCCTTTAATAGCCATTTTAATAATGACTACTTTCTTTATTTTTTAAAGTTAAGTTTAGTTTCAATCTCGACAACCGTTCCCGTGATTTACCACTTGTAACATTTCTCGTTGGCGACGGTTTGTGGATTTGCTACATTCGTTCATAATAGAGCTTGAATGAGATTTTGATATGAAGCTTATGACTTATTACTGCAAGCATCTTGCGATTTGAAGTTTTAATTAATTAATTAAATTTAATGTTGGGCGTAAATAATTGCATGTGTTAAACCTAGATGATTTGATCTCATTACTGTGTGCAGTGTGACAACGACAATTATATCTTTAAAAAATGGCGTGTAAGAATGAATGATATTCAGAGTTTGACGCATAAGCATGAAAAAACACGCTCATTAGTTGCCATGGAAAGCAATTATGGCAGATACTCCGGCGCGCACTTCGCATTTGGGCAAACCAAATCACGTCGTTAATGAATACGTTTGTAATCGCGTACGCTCTCGCAATACAATTGCTAGTGGGAATTCCGCCTTCACCTTGTTCGTAAAAGAATACACGATATTTGCTGCTGGACCTCTAGTTGCCCTTTCGTACTCAATCTCCATCTGAAGTCAATGGCAAATAGGACAGCCCATATCAATTACTTTAAGTGACTTTTTTGACGTCAAAAGGGTTGTAAAAATATCCTCGGATTGTTGCGATGCAAGGAAGGCCGTTGGAAGGGACGCCACCTATTAATTTTCTGGAGAGCTGTCCCTCCTTTATCGATAGAAAAATTGCTTTCTCTAGTTTTTATGCTAACCGGATTTAAATGGAAAAAAGCATCGATGTCTGACTTCCGACAACGTTTTAACAAACCGCTCAATTTTATGCACGATGGGCATCGATGATTTACAAACGCTAACTTGACTTGAGAATTTTAATCTAGCATTAGAATTAGCTAATCCCAAAAGTCGCAGAGCGAAGAGTTTGTCGAAATTTCCTAGAAAAACTGTATAAGAGGCGAATGAACATTAAACATATTAAACGAAACGGACGTAATATTTCATGTGTGCTGGCGATGGATCCGTCCCAGACTATGACGCAATGCCGTCGCTCTGGCAACTATGAACACAAACAGCTCTGAGGCATTATCCCCATTACTACAGATGTTAAGCGATTGCGATGTGAAATTAATGTCCATATATTAGATTCTGAATCAGGCGGCTAATTAAATTCCGAAGAATTTTGATGGCGCAGTTAGATGCACTTTGTTGAAATTAAATTACTTAAGGGCTTTAATGCGTCTGCATGTTTTGCATACGAATATTTCGCCGCGGGTATGTCGTTTTAGTTGTTTCTGTGAGGCGACTAGCTTTTGCGCTCTAATCCCGCAGGGGAAATTATGCGTTTAGTTTGGGTGGGCCCCTAAAGGCCGTGCTTACAATGTAATTTCATTGCAAAGCGAAGCACTTTAGAAGTCGCTCGCCTTTCTCTGTCCGGCCACTAGTTGGTATATGTATAGCCTACTTGTTATAGCACGCACATCCTTCACAGGATCACAGGATTAATTGCCGTTTATACAATGAAACAAATTATTTCTTTTAAACCTTCATATATAATTCATTATTGCGTGAGTGATATTTTCATTGGTGGTTGCGATCTCATATATTTTGCGTATGTATGATAATTATAATAAGTGTAGAAATTATGCCGTACTGTGTGATTAGTACATATTTAGGGTATAGCAAATTGTTGCAAACTTTTTACATGCTGAGCTTTCCTATATTCAATTTGTAACTTACTGTATCACGATGGGTTACTAAATGTTTGCGTGCGAACCAGCAAAATAGCAATACACAGAATGCAATAACTGTAGGTATTAATGCCAAAGTAACAAAAACCGCATTTAAAATTTTAAAAATCGTAGATAGTAGCAGAGTATATACAAACATACACACGCGCGCGCGCCGCGCACGCACGCACACACGCACACACACACACACGCGCGCGCACACACAGATAGGATATATATATATATATATATAATACCATCATTTATCTCTTTAGTTTCTTCAACCATCCATGGATTGCGCGCAACAAGTGTAAATAGCTATATTACGTTAACTTTATAATATCACTAAATTCGTAATATATGCGCCACTGCATAGACAGTATTCTTATCTATTCGATTTCAAACTGTTATCGATAGCGTTATAACTGTATCGCATTGCATTATGCATCGTAAGGCGGGGGCGACAAAATATAGACTAGACAGTCTATAGCGCGAGCTTTATTGAATTTACAGTCTGCACGTGCAAGTATGTGCCTATTTAATCGTCCTGTTTTTGGCTTCTTAAGAAGGGTGCCATGTTCTTTACAAATATTTAAATTGTATTCCTAGTGTGCCACGCAGCTGCAATAACACACGTCACTAATTGCACGTAAGCGGTGGAGGGGGTGGAGGGCTTGACGACGACGATCATTCACCTGTCTGCATTGACGACGACGATTCGCCCCCGTCATCTATTCAGCTTTTCACGAGATTAATCGTTTTATAGCTGCTGTTTGTTAGTGTATCGTTCTAATCGCATTTTTTACGTTCTCTCTATAGGAGTGATAATCGCAATTTAACCTTTATGTAAGCGGTAAGGCGGTCTTCACATAGTATAGCGCCCGCGAAACTAACATTTCTGTGAAACCGTTCTTCCCTCGGGGAAAGGGTTTCCTTTAATGGCCGCTGCATGGCGGATGACGATAAATCGCCAAAGAAAGCTCGCCCTTCGGTTATTACGTCGGGGCGCGATATTAGTTAATCCCCCCTCCCTAACGCTAGTTAATCCCCCCTTCCTAACGCTAGTTAATCCCTTCCCTAACGCTAGTTAATCCCTTCCCTAACGCTAGTTAATCCCTCTTCCCTAACGCTAGTTAATCCCCCCTCCCTAACGCTAGTTAATCCCCCCTCCCTAACGCTAGTTAATTCCCCCTCCCTAACGCTAGTTGACACGCGCTAGGATGCGTTGGGCGGAGAGCAATGTTCGGCGGCAAGCATTCAACATCACGATTTACATATGCATCGCTTCATGGGTGTGACGTTGTTGCGTAATGTTCGCGTGGCCACCAACGCTGCTTACAGCGACTCCTTGGTATGCTTATCTATGGGTAGAAATGCGCTGCTGTAACAAACTGTGAGCGCAACTAATCCCTGTCGCACACTGTCGACCTATACTGACCCAGAACTGAACTCTCAGAAATGACAATTCTGGCCAGTCAGTTGGAACACGTAAGTCACCTCAATTTACACACAATCAGGGGCCCGTTGTCAGAAACAAAATTAGTCTTAACATTAACATTTTGTCTTAGACCGTCGACAGAAACGCTGCGAAGTTACCTCAATGAAAAATCGTAGCAGATTTCCTCATAGCAATACCAAACAAAGTGGTGTCGACGGTCTACGAGAAGATGTTAGTGTTAAGACTAATGTTAAGACTGATTTTGTTTCTGACAACGAGCTCCAGGTTCGGCTTTGGAGTGAATTAACAGAACTATAATGACTATAGTTGCCCATCTTTTTTCGCGCAATAGTTGTCTATACATACTAGCTTCTTGTACGTGTAGCGGTCGTGTGCACGCGTTGACATGTTGCAGGTCTGTATTTATGTGCAATTTTGACATATTTAGTGATTTTTGAATTTCATTGTTCTTAATTGGTTATGGTGGATTTCAGGCGTACTTCGTATTGCGGGGAGTATTTCGTAGAACGGAAAGTTAGCTTTAAGTCACATTGCAAGGAGAATGCGCAGACAGGATAAAACGCAATGCAATAGGCAGAATATTTTGGAAATTAAGGAATATACAGTTTGTGAGCGTTCAGCGGATTGAAATGACGATTTTTAGACGGGAGCAACAAAATTATTTGTTCCCACATATTATCCTAATAAAGGTCAAACAAAAAGTGCTAAATTCGCCAACAACTGGCATGACTACAAGTCTTTATATAATGGAAATATTGGCAAAATAAACGAACTTGGCTTCATTTAACGTGTTTTTCATTTGTTTCTATTGTAATATCAACTCATTTGCGTAAGAATCATATGTAAATCGCTAAATGAAATGGACCCCCATTACGTATAAGTATCGAACGAAAAATACATTTATAAAGTGTTGATATTCGATTTGAACAGTACTCGTATAGCATATATCTCTGGTTACTCTCTACACTAAATATTGATTTCCATCTTGTCAAAAAAGAATTTATTATTGATAATGGACTATAAATTCATGATTCAGCGTCTCTTGGTGACTTCACCACTAAACCGATGGACATGGCAGCCTCGCGTCTACAAGCCTATATTGCTTTTCAAGTCTATATTTACTCTGTAATGCATTTGCACGTAGTTGTTTGCGAGGACTCGCGCAATTTTGCCGCCACAATTCCAAAAGCTTTGCATTATAACTCCTTGAGCCAGCAAGTGAAGACACAAACACAATACGGAATTCAATAATGCAGAACATAACGCGTTCGCTGTATTGGTAAAAGTGAAATTAAAACAGTGCGGCTGCGATATTTACATAAAATATCTTCACATAAAAGTTCAGGCGTTGGAATGTAAAACATATATTCCAGGCGCAGCGCATGTACATGTCTTCTCGTTTCGCTGTACGGCTTCCTAGATATGAAACGGGGGAAAATGCCATTCGAAATGATTCTGAACCTCGAGTTTAAAAAAAGTTAAAATCATACAACATAATATTTAACTAAACTATACAATTGAAAACGACATTCGTTTGAAAATTCGATTGTAAATGAATGATTAACACGGTTATCAAAGATATACGTGCAGCTGCCTATACGCAACACACATTTGGTTCAATTCGATGCCATTTGAATGCACGACATGGAAACTCGAATATAATCAATACAGAAACAATATCGTCATGAGCTTCACACTATAGCACTGGCTTACTTGTAACTCGCTTGGAAATATCTATCTAACCGTGCACGCATGCATGCACACACAAGTACGTCCTATAGGGTAGCCGGGCCTGCACTGGTAGACTGTAGTCGATAATATTGATTGACCCCCCGTGAGACCTTTGTTTACAGTGGAATATTCCGTAGCTGTGTCAAGAAGGGCCAATCCCTCATCAGTGCCATTCAGTTAATAAGCTGTGAGTGTCCTCACTCGCAGCATGCAGGAGTACTCGTGGAGGTGTGCACACACTGCCGCACAACTTTCTTTGTAACATCGTTAGGAAGCAACCCATGCCGTGATAAAGGATCGAGAACAGTGGCAAGAATCATGTTTCATCACTTTCAGAGTTGTTCTATATAACTGCGTTCGGATTTTACAATTCCTCATCGACAACTTTCTATATTTCACCTTGTCTCCTCTCTCATACACACACACACGCGCGCGCACGCACGCACACTCACGCGTTCACCCGTTCCGCTTGTGCCACACCTCCCCCCTCGAACGAACCCCCTGTCAAATTGGTCAACAGTGTATTAGGGGGGCCTACGTGCGTGTATATAGCGCAATTAGAAGCCGTTTCAGTGCAGCAAAACACGGCATCTTACAATCATCTACGATGCGTGCATGCTTTACCGGGAGTGGGGGTGGGGCTTGCTAGACAGGAGGCTGAGTGAACCTGCTACCATAAGCCTAAAGAGGTGAGAATACCCTGCTACATTAGGGGCTTGATAATGATATTTTCCTAATGGCACATACGGCAGAATGGCAATAAACTAGGCGAACATTACGCTACACCGCCACACTGCATCATCAAAACGCTAGAACTTAGCTCGCCGTGTATCTAGTGAGTTACATATCCTACCAGGCGACAACATAAAAGCGTGGCGGTCATCGCTGACAAAATCTTAATTCACTGTGTGGGGGGGGGGGAGTGGAGCAGTGCAGAAATCATACAAAAGTACAGAATAGGTATATTACCGTAAACACATACATATATACAATGTACATAAAACGAGATCCGATATGCTCATGATATTAACATTACGCATATGCATACATGTGCAGGTTACGTACGTACATGCAAGCATGCCTGCATCACTGAAAACAACCTGTGAGCAAATAATAGATACGAAAACAGTAATTATCGCACGGGGCATCACGCTAGATAAAGTTGTTACTTTCAAATAAAAATAAATAATTTAACATAATACATAACTATAAAACGTTATAATCCTATGAACAATACCTTGCCGTGCCCTTCGTGGATATTAAGCTCTTTCTAAATGTCAGTTATGCTTGTTACTGTTCGAGGTCAAATTTTATACGTCTAAACCGCATTCATTCAATTGTGTATGAACACCCCTCTAGTCCAAACGGGTAACTACATCACGTATGAACACCTTAGAAAAACGCTGTACTACATATAAGTGACAAGTCAGTTTCAGGGTGAATATAATTAATTACATTTGTAGCAACGCAGTGCTGTGACAGCTATTGGGCACAGTATATGCATTAGTGAAGTACATTGCGACAATTTCATTTAATATTACGCACATTTTAATCCGAGATGTGTTTGAATATTTACAGTGAAGATAATACACAGCATCAAATACAGGTTTGACAGTTTGCACAATTAAATAACAATCACGTGGTTTAAAATCCACTATTTGTGATTTACATACACAGACCGTGTGCAATATCATACTTGCAAATGCAATTATACTTTAACAAAATAAAAATATTAACATTTGTTTTCATTACATGAATTGTAAATACTTACTCTTAGTTTCACATTCTGTAAGATTTGTAGATTGCACTATTACATCAAAATTACCAAATTAATGTTTAGACAATGAGATTAATATGAAATTATCCAGAAAGCCAAAAGATGGCACTTACAGCTGAATTGATGAGAACTTCATAACACAACTAATATTTTTTATGAGAATCTTAGAAATGATTTTTGATTTTTCCATTAGGGTTTTGTGCAAAAACGGTAAAAATGTTACAATTGGTCTCTGGTTACTTGATAACGTTAACCAGGCTAAGTAGCACCAGAATGTGACATACCTATGGGAAAAGGGAATGATCAGTTTACCATGGTTATTACACCCACTTACACCAACGTATCACATGACTTACTGCAAAATACGCAAGCTCATGTCATTATTCCACACATGCATTATTACCAGACGTACACCCAATATTGTGCGTACCTAGTGAATATGGGGCTCTAGCTTGAATGGCAATAAAATAAATGACCCAAGATATTCTCAAGTCTTAAGATTGGTTTAAGCTGTTGCTATAGCCACAGACATATTTACAACAATGGTATAAATAAATTAATACGCATTAACAATCAATAATGATCTATGTACGACAAAAGACCAACAGCACTGACCACTAAATAAGACCAACAGCACTGACCACTAAATAATTTTGTGTCCACCACAACCATTGATCTCTCAACCCAGCCATTGGTCTCTCAAACCACTCATCACAATTCACAGCTTTTTTTAGAGGAAGATATGTAATATAAGTGGATAGTTGAGATTGATATATTAAAATCACACACGTGGCAAGTGATCCACCTTGTCAAGTTCATTGATGCCTCTTTCTACGATCACTGAATCATACAGCAGTTTGATAAGGAATCTCGGAACCTAACATTTCAGCCCCGACAACTCAATCTGCTGTCATTCTGCGCTCACAAAAGTCCAGCAGACAAACCACCTTTCCAGAAAAGCGTTAGTCTGAAGACGATATTGAGGGAAATCACATATTATTCTATCACACAGAGGATAATCGCTGAAAATTGCAAAATGAAACTGCACTGCCATCTGCTGGTAGAAAATAGTTCTAAAGGTTGGAGTGTTGCTTCCAGGAGGCCATTACGTGGGGGTGACGTTTGGTCCGTAAGAATTACAGGTCAATACGAGACATTACACTGTATAGTCGTCATGCGGTTCAATCTCTTTAGGTGGACTGTGGCAAGGTAGCAGCCAAAAAGCCAAAGAACCTGAAAAGCAGAGCAAAAATTAATGAAGTGTAATAATTCTTTTTCAGAAAAATACAAAAATAACATTAAATATAATATAAAATACATACCGGTAATCATACTTCTTTTAAATTGTTATGTGAAAAACGATTGTATTGTTGAAATAGCAAAAAACAGGGAAATGAATGTGCAAGAAATTCTTTACGTTTTACTAGTTCCATATACGTTTGCCACTACCTTGTCAAATTGTTCAGTTAAAAGATAACCATCACTTGAACAATCCTTCGAGTGCTTGAGATATTTTTAACAAATAATCAAAATCTTCTGTATGTGTACCTTGCCTCGAAAAACTTACATTTGATATCGGGAACTACCCAAGATTTCTTTACACATTGATAATGCACAACAAGCTACGGAATCACTGTACATCTCTCATATTGATCTACGCGGATGCAGTATAGTCTGCCACCACGCGGCTAGCATGGCACGCACACCTGAGCAGCCAAACTCACCTCGCCCGAACACTTCCTGCAGTAGCGCCATCTTGGATTTAAGCGGTCGATGAGGACCTCTCCTCTGCACCTGCTCTACTGCTGTCTCGTCTGTCCAGATCGCTGTCAACTGCAGCACCAGAGACGCGCGATTCAACCACACGTGCAAAATAAACTCGCTCGGGCGCAAAGCACGCCCCTTGGCTTCTCGTAACGGGAATGCCGACCCAATTTACTTGGCAAACATAAATGGTTACAAAATGGTAAAGCTTCATACTGTGTATAGCGTGAATTTGTATTATTTTGGCAATTTATATCTTCATACTATGAAAAGGATGTGGATGTGTATGTGTATGTGGGCAACTTGCCACTAGTATTTGCAATTCAAAAATGGTTAATATCAACAATTAATTACAGGTTACTGACACTTAGCTGACTATTACCCAATGAATACAGAAGCAATAAATGAGTATTTACCTGGTCTACCATGATGGCTACTACAAATATTCCAAATAGTAGAGATTCAATGACAAGAATTATGCAATGCATCCTGCAAAAGGAAAATTACACGACGAAATCAAATATCAGCAACAAAATGTATTTATTTGTATAAAGTATGTATTTAACCACATTTCATTATATTTGGGATGCATATTAATATCCTAAAATCAAAAAGTTAATGGACATACAAGTTTAACTTTAAGCTCACTAATACAGAAAGTTTGGGACTAGACCAGCTCAGTTACTGAAAAATCCAAACCATCCAAGCCGAGGGTAAGAAGGCAAAATAATACATATAGTGCATTATTACTGATACCAATACAACTTACATAAGCACAAACCTTATAGAAATGTAAATTCATGTAGTTTGAACAGCTTAATTTCTACTTACAGCATAGTCTGCTTTGAATGCTCATCCAACTGACAGCCATCACAGTCACCGAGCCAAGCAACAGCAACCAACACTATTGCATGAACAGATGCTATACCTACAACAGGACACCGTCACGAAAATATTATTATCTGTTTGACACACAGAGAGAGTACCAATGGTGAGAGAGTACTATGCAGTGCAGGCACGAGCTAACGAAAAATAAGTCCAATTTGCTGACAAACAGTTATGGCTGCAAGCCGAGATCACCCAATGAATAAAAGAATTTGTAAAAAATTAAAAGAATAAAACGAGATTAGCTGTGGCAATGACAAAATCAGTCTTGGGTGTAGTCATTTAATATCAGCAACACAAACAGGACAAAAAAATGCAACTCTATGTGCAAATAGTTTATAAAATGCTATACAAACATTGGAATAAAAGTTCCTCATACCTACCTACATAGATTATAAACTGCAGGAAATATTTTTGGTTGTATTCACCCACGCAATTATTTATCCTATAAATAAAGAAAATGTCAGAACCTTAACAAATTTCATAGGAGTATATCATGAAAAACGTTTAGAAAAAGTGTTCCAAGCTGAACTCATTCATCAAAAATTACACATCAGAAAAACTACACAATTGTGATAAATTTACCAACTCTAACACCAATGATTATTTAATAACACAATTTACCAAGGGCAATGGTGGTCCATCCGTCGAATACACCTGCGACATATGCGACAGTGATGGGCCCTTGGTGGCCTGTAAGTCTCACATCTTGCACACACCGTCCAATCATGGCCACTCTGCTTTTCGATAACAAAATTATTGCGTAAATTTACGTGATTTAGTGATAGCGATTGGTAAACCCTAATCCAAATGAGATACATATATACTGGAATTAGTGGTTTTAAATATAATGAATGCTTATTGATTTTATAAAATAGAAAGATACTAACATTATCATTATATAATCACAAATAATATTGTCTGGCAAAATATACAAATTCATAAACAGATTATGTCTTTTACTGCCAGATATATCACCTGATGTATGGGACTTCTAGATCCAGAATGCAGGTCAGAGAAATCGAGATTGGTTTTAGGTAAGGGCACAACACCTGGATCAGATAGCACTGCTCTCAAATGAGATGCAAGCATCATTGTCAATATCACATTGAAGAGCACAGCATTGAAGGCACCCCAAAGGCTGAAACAAATAATCATAGCGAAGTATAATTAGTATGCACTGCACTTGATTTCATGGTTTCGATGCTGCAATGGAGAGAGAGGGGAGAGCGAAGGAGGAAGGGATGGAGGGAGAGAGGGAGGGAGGGTTGGAGGAAGGAAGGAAGTGAGAGAGAGATGGAGCGAGACTATTATTTTTGTGTTTTATTTGACACAAACAGAACTGGCATGACCCTAATTTTTACTGTAAATATAAGTACAATGTTTCCTTAACCTTGGCCACCTATAATATGTGTTTTTTCCCCATTTACAGTTACAGTCAGGGGCGTAAATCCGTACTGAGGAGTGGGGGGATGATCGGCGATAGCCGGGGGCGAAATTAACCTTGGCTGCCGCAGGCAGGCTCGCGTGCCGCAGGCATGCCAGTGCTAGGGGGGTCTGAGGGCATGCCACCCAAAAAAAATTTGAAATATTTAAGCCATTTTCCTGCAATCTGAGGCATACTGTGGGCCATATTCTCATGTCTGGTGACACTATCTCAACCCTAGACTCAACCCTACAAGTTACGATTCAATACACTTTTCATTACTTTTCAGAGGGCGTACAGTTAGGTTACTATAGTAATAATACATGTATTAAAAAACAGGTAAGAATTGCAATTTCTCACAATTTCACGTGTTTTTGTATGTTTGCAACCATACTTTTTGGCTATTCTTTTTTTTCTCTTTTTTTTGAATCTCAGGGGGGGATATTTGTACAGGCCATCCCCCCTCCTTCAAGAGCAGGGGGGATGCATCCCCCATCCCCCCCCCCCGGGATTTACGCCCTTGGTTACAGTGCCATACACCAGAATGCATACACCAGCAAGCTACATAAATAACTCTCGGTAAGATCATGAACATATGTACACTATATAATACAGGTCCTTATATAAACATCCAGTAACAGAGTGACCAGTACAATGCCACTGTGCACAAACTCAAAAAAGATATAGAGCAGGTGGAAAAGCGAGAGTGCCAATTTCGCACAATGCTCGCTTTGTTTCACACAATCACAGCGAAAATACACAAACAATCGCCTCCATATTAGTACCTATATGTATCCGACTGTTCACTTGTTAGAATTAATTTTTAATTTACCCAGAGAAATCTAATAAATTCCTATGGAAAACTCCCACTCCACAGCAATGTATATGGGAGCAATTCTGTTTATTAATCGAAACTCCCTAACTGCACTACCCGATTGTTTAGCCAGTGAACGTACTCATGTGTGTGACGTCATTTCTGCGCAAATTATGCTGGCTTGGCATGGAATTGAGTGGCGGGGCTTATCAGATAGCCAGGAAACATAGAGCTTTTGAAGCCGGATGCAATGCGTCGCCATTAATCATGTATATATAAATAGTTGCTCCCATTTACATTACCGTGAAGTTAGAGCATTCCACAGGAGTTTATTAGAGACGTTTTTATCTAGGCGAAATCGGTAAATCGGTTTCCTAAATCACGTGATCAGCGGTTTGGTGAAAGCGCTTTTGTTACATAAAAACAACGCAAGATAGATCACTATTTGGTTAGGATTTAGCTGATCTTTGTACGTTTTTATAACACATTAACTTATTAATCTTATATAATCATTTATTAAGAAAACTACTTAATAACTTACGTTTGGCTATCCGCCATATTGAATGTTGAGAAACGACCAAAGCGCTTTCACGAAAACCGTCCAGATAAATGGAAGATTTGCGAAACCGTAAAGCGCTTTCGCTTAGATAAAAACGCCTTCGATTTCTCCAGGTAAATTATGTTCTATCCAAGCGCAAGGCGATAATTCAAACAAGTGAACATTCAGCTACGTATAGATACAAGAATGGTAGCTCTAGAACTATAGCCCTCCGCTCCGCCGCAGGGCTATAGAACATACTATGGCAATTTCCAGGGAGTAAGTAAAGACAACTTTTTTGCGATTAATAACTTTTTCGGTATGCCAAATAAAGCACATTCTCTGCCGCACAAATGTCTTAAGTTACTACAAACACTAAAATTAAACCGCAAACTAACGCTTAAATGTTGTACTTGCAATATTACTCGTCGAAGAAGATTGTTTACTAACTTGTAACCGCTATTTTTCGTTGCGCATCGCTAGCGCGGTTCCGGTGCTAGTGAGCGGGCACAATGTATTTCCAAGTGGAGGGGTGGGCAGGTTGCACGCAGATTTAACCGCCATCTTTCGTTGCGCAGCGCTAGCGGGGTTTGCAACCGCGTGCAACCTGCCCACCCTTCCACTTGGAAATACATCGTGCTAGCGATGCGCAACGAAAAATGGCAGTTACAAGTTGGTAAACAATCTTCGTCGACGAGTAATATAGCAAGTACAACATTTAAGCGTTAGTTTGCGGTTTAATTTTAGTGTTTGTAGTAACTCAAGACATTTGTGCGGCAGAGAATGTGCTTTATTTGGCATACCGAAGAAGTTATTAACCGCAAAAAAGTTGTTTTTGCTTATTCCCTGGAAATTGCCATAGTATGTTCTATAGCCCTGCGGCGGAGCAGAGGACTATAGTTCTAGAGCTATACCAGAATGGATGCATGTAATATTTGTGTTGTAACGGTGAGAAACAAAGTGAGTGTTGTGCAAATTTAGCACTTATTCTTTCCCACCTGCTCTATGTGAGTTTGTGCACGGTGGCGTGCATGCGCTAAAATTGTGTGTTGCAGAGGAGCATTTAAACAGTATTTACAGGAAATTAATAGCCGATAGAGAATACATAAACATTAAGGCTTTGATAGTAAATACATGGTACACACATACCCATACACCAGTTGTAAAGGCTTGGTGGGGATAACTGACACAGTGCCAATAAGCAAACTTGAAGCTTTCTATTAGTAATACTAAGTATTACTACTTAACTTCGTCTTCGTACTTAGACTAGTATTGGCGAGTATTGCGTACTGGGAATCTTATTATATTAGCCACGACTATCTTCAGTTTAAGAGTGGATTAATCATGAATATATAATATTCCCTGCGCAATTCTTACCTATTCGACATCGTAGGCATAACTATCTGTACAGTTACAACATAATCGGCGTAAAATACAGCCCCATATGTAAGCAATATACAGAATATACCACAAGGATCACTCCGAAACACCACCATCTTGGAGATCTTCCTGTACTGCTAGAAATTGACACAGGGGAACAACCCTGTCGACAGGCGGCGCCTGTGTCACATTATCGGCCACGGCCACCAGATAGACACGGAGCCACAAGGAGCTAGATATATACATCTATATTCACTCCCGATAGTATATTAATTTGAGCTCATTGATCTTTCCAAGAATCGTTATGATGTTTACAACGTAGATATCATATATACGGTATATATGATATCTGTGGTTTACGATAATAATTAGCATCCGAATTCAGAAATTTAGATGACAACGCGGTACTAGGCGTGGCAGATGCGTTATGAAATATCAGATGCTATATCAAATGTTATGGGGACAGCGTTATGGTACGGGCATGATTACTCAATAAGAGTAAAACACATTGAAATAGAGCCGAATAAGAAGTAGGAAAGGTATAGGAAAGGTAGGAAAGGCGTTACTATCTACCCATTGCGCGTGCGCACGCGCGCGCGTGTGGTCACGCGTGTGCGCGTACGAAACGCGCGTGATGGCGGGCGTCCGTGTGTGCGTGCCACTGATCTCTACTATACTAACGTAGTATACTAACTATACTAATAATAAATAAAAAATAACTAACTATACTAATTTAGTATAGTAGAGATCGATCAGTGGTGCGTGCGCGCGTATGTACGTGTGCGTGTGTCATACCGGTGGTGCATGTCGCAGGACCATAATGGACTCGTGATATTAAAGGATCACTAAATATATATCATTTAAAAATATCATTTGTGTTTTATTTTGTTAATTGTCTCTAACTTGCGACATTCATATAACCAAGAGCGTATTTTAAGCACACTTAATACGCTCTTACTAATACGATACTAATTGTTATTTGAGTTATACGAGTTTATTTGCTTCGTGTGCAAATAATCACAGAAACACACGTGGATGACGTCATATCACAATTAGACCACGAGGAGGCTGAGCGTGCAAGCAACCGCGGTTACTAAGCAGCAATTTTGTACTAGCAAATCCAAGCTTGACAACGTTGCGTGCCTAGACATTGGTAGACACGGGTAACTGGATTTAACGCCGTATAGCGTGGCACACACGTGAGTGTAACCGGAAACTTTCATCATCTAGCCATCGTATAGATACACGACTCGCGCGTTCCCTACACTCACGATGCTTAGAAAGAATAACGAACGCAAGGGATCAATGTTTTTGCGCTCCAATCACCAGAAGTACGCACCGACCACGCTCACGTTCAACTGGCACGAGGCGAGAGAAGCGATCCCAATGCAGTACGACATTCAATCATGCGACACCAAGTCACGCAATCTGCACATCGGAACGGTCAGTATTATAAATAAATAAATAAATAAATAAATAAATAAATATATATATCAAGAGTAGATAATAGAGAGAGAAAGAGCGAGCGAGAGAGAGAGAGAGAAAGAGCGGAACGAAAAAGAGAGCAGAGCGAGAGGAGAAGAAGAGAGAGAGAGAGAGAGAGAGAGAGAGAGAGAGAGAGAGAGAGCGAAGAAGAGAGAGAGAGAGAGAGAGAGAGAAGACGAGAGAGAGAGAGAGAGAGAGAGAGAGAGAAAGAAAGATTAATAACGTCCAACCCGTTTTAAACTTTGCACCCTTATTAATATGTCGAGTGTCTCGAGTAGGCAAGAACTATAGGCAATAATTTGACTGCATAGTTTAGTCAATTATTTTCGGGAACTATTGCACGAGCAAATTTTCACGCTATCTGTGGCATCATTGCTTTTTGATATGCAATAGATTATGATATCGCGATCAATATTTTCACATTTTCTAATCAGACACCGGAAAAGTTGAGCCGGTATATAGGATCAATATATTTAAATATTTAATAAATTGTATATTTTCTTTACGTTTAATTTAATTAATATTTAACAATTTTATCACATTTTTATACGGCTAACCTCAGATGGTAACGATGCTTAAACGGTAATCCATAAATCCATTAATCCATAATAATCGATATATAATCAGGAGTGAATCAAACCCTGTGAAATAGAAAGTGAAAATAATGTTGCAGGGGCGGGTACAGGATTTGTACCAGAGGGGGGGGGGGTCTTACCGTAACCCAAACTTGCGAGCACGCGAAGGGGGGGGTCTGGGGGGCCCTTCCCCAGAATTTTTTTGAAATTAGACCCCCTTAGATGCGTTTTCTGCGCGAGCAGGGGGGGTCCGGACCCCCTGGACCCCCCCCTGCACACGCCCCTATGTTGTTTTTAATTTCATTCCTGATATAATGCATGCTTAGTATCAGCGGCTGGGGACAGAGCCTGCGGAGTACGTCAGCACGCAGCAGACGGCGATGAAACAGGTCGGCGACAACCGCAGCTGCAACAACACCGAGCCCGCGAAACGCATGCTCACTCCGACGACGTTTTCCGGCGCGATAGGCGGTCATCAAGTAGCGGGCAAGCAGCCAGTGCTGCCATTTCACCACGTCGACCACGGACGCCGCTACTTGGACACGACGCATTCCTGCGATTACAAGAACCCCAGCCAGTACACTCAACGTCCGCCCGCCGAAACGCGCGACCTATCGGGCGCCTACAGAAAGTGTCACTCTCAGTTTACGGACACCGACGGCCACTGCAGGACTGGACTCAACACTTGGCACAACGAGTCGGGAATTTATGGAAACACAGTAGTGAAGCGACAGGTGCTAGTGAGTAGGGACCCCATCCTGCGCGGTTTCCCTACGACTCCGCCGTAGTCAAAGTGAAAATAATACTTGCACGGTGAGGGGGGATGGGCTAGGTCGGAATACGAGGAGGAACAGGGAGAGAAGTACGGTAAATAAGTGGGTGTGTACATTCGCAAGAGGATTTTGTATATTTGTGTGACTGTGTAAATGAAACATGTCATTGCGCAAAAATAGAAACGTTCAATAAATATCTCAGGTGTAGAAATGATTACTGTACACTATCTGCTAGCAAATGTGGATGTGGCAATAACAAATTCATCTATTTCGTTGAACACGCTACGTTTGATTTGCCGATGCAATGTATTGGCACTGGTAAAAACAAGAACATATACTGCTAAATAGATTGTTTGAATAGTAATCATGGAGTTTTGTATTTATTTTCATGACTTTTTTGGTGTACATTTCTGCACCAAGTGCTAAGCAAAGACAAACAAATGAGACAGATCGAAAATCACACAGAAATCAGCACAAGATATTTGCTGAAGAAAAACTATACTCTCGAGGTTACCGTGTTGAAATCCGACAAGATGACGTCATAACATGCCTCGGTAGACAGGCAGGTACTGCTCATGTATCAGCCCTATTAGTAAAATTTCCCCAACGGGGTTTGATGTGGTTCACAATCTTGCTATGCGTTTCAGAAATGCAAACATCAAACCCACACTGGTTAACATACGACAAGTGTTTTCCTAATCTAGCCGATAGACACTTTATCCAGCCATACTAGCCAACTAATCGTCAATCGGCTTCCCAACACTATTGGTGAGGTAGGTGGCAGCACTATCTAGCAACGAAGAGCATGTCAACCTACGCGTAACATAATCACTATACACCAAACACCACTACAACTAGAGTAGACAAAGACCTCTCTACCTGTAGTCACAACACTCCTCTCACAAGCACCATCCGTCACACCATACAGCGTTTATGCTCTCCAGCTTTTTTTGGTTTATTTTTGGACTCATAATATGTAATATACATGTAAATAGTTAACCTGCTTAATATGTCAGGTATGTTCATGCCACACTACAAACAGCATTGCTTACTGGGCAATCGTTGCAGGCAAATGATAGACACGGATTTTTTTAAATTTATGGCAAAGTATTACTCTTGCGCAAACTATACAACTTCCCCGCTAGCAACGTAGATATTTTCAATACTTCTTTAATTTACGATAAGCCGCAGCAGGTGCGACCCACGAGATATAGTGCCGTAGCAACGCTGCGAAAATCGTGTCACTTGAACAACACCAATTTCGCACTGCGAGGATCCTGTAAACTGAACACCTCTCTCAAGTTATTTATTACACAGGAACGCTAGATCTACAACCTTGCTGCAGGGGATATGAGAATACAGATAGGTGCAGAACCTGTCACTGCAACAGTGTGTATGTAGATGACGTATGCAAACATTCAAATTGAAAGCAAATGGAAACATATCACCGCAGTGACAATTGATTAAACAACAGAATAATGTTGGGATGGGATGTGTGTGTGTGTTTGTTTGTTTGTTTGTTTGTGTGTTTGTGTTTATGTTTATGTTTATGTTTATGTTTATGTGCGGGGACGTACAACAGAAACTAGTCATGTCCATACAAGGCAGGACATCAACAAGAAATGATTCAACACTGAAAATCACAAAAATATCCAACTCCATATCTTATGTACATTGTCCTCATGCGTACAGTTTCATTTGAAAGCCAACTACCACTTTGAAAGATGCAGGGGAGCAAGTCAAAAACTATACACGCAATGCTGTACCATGCTGTAGTTTCAGCCTTTTCCCTGTCTACTCTAAGGCCTAACTGGAGATTTTCTTACATGCTTTATTGAACCACTTAATTTCTAGAAAAGTGATTCAAGGAAAGCAAAAACAATATATACACGAACACTGCTGAAACCACCATGCACTGCACACCAACCTAACCAACCAAGCGCATCACGTAATCAGTTGCCATGGTGTCAGTCACCACATCGCACACACGTAAATAATGCTGTACAATTGAAGAGTGAAATTAACGGGACAATTTCAGTGCACATGATGTTGCAATCTCACTCGGTGTGAACTATAATGCAAGATATACACAATGACAAACTTTACATCTTATTTGATTCCCTCACAACTACAATGAACCGGTAAATTATTTGTATTCGAGAACTCATCACGCTTCCTTCTGCCTTCTGCAGATGGATAGGAACACTGCATCCCGCTCAACTACGCGTTACAGAGACACTGCACTCTGCTTAACTCCATTTCCAGTAGAAGCATAGAGACACCACATCTCGTCTTAGCTGAAACCACCAGTCGTACGGGAACCGTAACCTGCTTCCCCCTGCTACTAGCAGGAACAAAAAGACAACACATCCTGCTTTACTCTGCCTTCAGCCTGGAGCACAGTCACCACATCCTCCTTCACTCTGCTTCACCCAGAAGCGTTCCGACACAATACCAAGTATCAGCCTCCGGCAGGATACATACTGCATACCACTTTTCCATCTAAATCAGGAGCACATAGATAGACATTGCATCTTGCTCCTCTCAGCCCTTGTCAGGAGTATACACAACACATTCTACTTTTAATATTCATCTAGCATTAGCATAGATGCTCCATTCTGTATTGCTCTGCCTTCAACATGAGCTGGCACCACACTTTGCTCCATACACTCCCCACCCTACCACTTTCTGCATTATTCTCCCTCCAGAAGAAACATGTCCACTGCATCCTCGTTCACCTCACTAATGCAGAAGTAAACACACACAGACACACACGTATGCATGCACGCACACGCACACGCACACGCACACACACAACATATATGGTTTCAATCTGCCTACGCTTTCATTAAATTGAAATTACGTGACAATATGAACTGAATACACCATGCAAATATCTTTCTGGTGTAATCATCAACATCTCGCAGGTAACATATACACTCCGATCTATGGCTTTCTCCAAAAAAACCCAACAATCTTCACCTGCATCTACTCCCCAGCATCTACTCTCACAAGCACTCAGACATGTACGTGTGTGTGTATGCCTGTGTGTGTCCTAAACCCCTAAAACAAGTCTTTACAGAGCTCTCACAGCGCAATCAAAGCCGCGTCTCCAACAAGACCATGTTGTTTCTATAGCTTCCTCTCAACCAACACACCCCGCCGTGTCGGCGTGTACGCGGCGCGGACACGAACGCAGCCCGCGACCGGCGTGGCGACGGCGGCGGCTCTCCTCCCGTAACCCGGCACCCGGCAGGAGGATGCGCGCACGCACGCACGCACGCACAAACCGTTCACCTCTTCGAGAGCTTCAGCACGATACGACCACTGTTCCTCGCCTCCCGCGCAGCCACCGTCCACTCGGGGTCATCGGGGTCGTCGTCGTCGTCGCCGTAGTCGGAGGACTGCGGGGATGGCGACGTGGGTCTGGACACGCGCGGCGTGCCACCGTCCCACAGGCGCACAGGCTCCACCGCCGCACACTTGAAATCTGCAACGAAAAAAAGGTTGTAACGCATGTAATGTCTTCGCTATATCGCAAAATTGGCATATGAATCATAGATCAGCTTATGTGTTGAGGATACGATACTGTATTTGTGCTTCCACCTATCGAATGTTCATATTCAACTTTCTATGCTATAACTGCATAAAATCTTAGTGTTTTTCAAGTTGGTGTAATTAGTGATATATCCACTGCGAGGTGAGTCTATATTTCGCTATATTTTTTCGAATTGAGCGCTTCCGAGCAATAATCTCGTAATAAAAACTTTAACACAGATGGATAAAAACTAACTATATATAACTAATGCTGAAAATTAAAATGCAATGAACCATGGACTAGTATTATATATACTACATAACAACCACATCGTGTATCCAAGCCAACAACTGCGGTTAATATTTTAAACAATATTTTTTGTTTAACACAGTCCCACTTATGAAATCACTCGAGAATACGGATAATGATTCTTAGTTAATATTTCCCAATCCACTATATGGAAGCACTGGTTAGACATGCAACAGCTGCGAAACATTTACACACGGATTAAATGATGTTGGAATGGCACGCAAGGAATGCAGACAAAAAATGTAATATTTTGCGACAAACTACAGTCTTCGTATGCAGCCAAAGAAATCATGTGCACAGACAGCAGAGACAGAACCATATTTAGGAGGCTCGACGTTCCCCATTCACACTTGAAAAAGAACTGCGTCATATCGAAAAGGCTGCACCCCACACACTAACCCGCGTTCATCGCCCCCCCCCTCCCCCCTCCGCAGACGACCCACCGTTACGCGGTGAATAGAAACTGCGACGCAACCAGTGTCATGCTGCTTGTGTTTACGCAGCGAAGGATCTCACGAAATTCTGCGCGTAGGTGGCGCTATTGGGCGCACGACGGCGACGCGAGGGACACGTACCGGTGACGGCGGCGGGCTGCTGCGTCGGCGTTGGCGGCTCCTTCTCAATCTCCAGCACCTCGGCGTCGGAGAGCGGGAACTGGCGCGCATCGTACGGCGCCACCGTCGGGTACGTGTACAGCGACGTGTCTACGCAGAGGGCGCTGCCACCACTGCCGCTCTCCGAGCCGTCCTCACACAGCGACGTGCGCAGGCTCTCCCGCCGGACGAATGAGCCGCTGTTGCGACGCACGGCGACGGCCGCGTCGTCATGGTGGATAATCTGTCGGACACACACAAACAAACTGTTGCGAGATCATGCTTTAGATTCAACGAACGTCTCTGTACGAGTAAGGGGGTCTGGGTAAGCCATGCCTCCTCGGATGCTATCGTTAGGTTAGTCAAGTAAACAAAGTTTCTAAGTGTTGTGCCTGCCAAACTGTCTGCATAGTGGTGCGTCATTGCTAAGCATTGTTTTTAGAACTTTCTATCGCAATGCAAACCAGGTAGAGACGTCTATCAATCAGACCAGACTGATGGAGTAACTATGATGCTGCTGAAAATATTACTAAAATGAGATCCAATATACTGCAATGTAATGGTCTGAGTGAATGGCCTATAAATGTGCTCATGGCACCTGTTAGTTCTGAGATGCGTAAAAGCAGTGCTCACAAACGAATCAAAGAATCTCTATTAGCTTTCTGGCTATTTACGAAATGGTGAGTGATTTATGGATTTATTTAGTGCTATAGCCATCTTTGGCTACTGTACGCTAGCCATGTACATTATATAGGATATGTTATATTGAAATTTATTTTGGTTGTATGTTATATAGGAATTTTTAACCAGTTTTTGTTATTTGTTCTAGCCTTAGTCAATGAACTGCTACTCTTCACATATCAGTATCAAGTACATTTCACCCATGACGGGTAAGGTTATATAAATAGAAAACAGGTCACGATAGTTGGAAAACATTCTCACTGGGCCGATCCTACGTTCTCAAAAAAACCTTTACCATTGACTGGAAAGCACACTTTCAGACAGCAACAAAAAACATGAACGACAAAAGGAGTAGGGGGGTGCATTCACGTCTCATCTCCAACCTCAAATAAAGAATGAACGGAGGATGGAATCGACAAATGGTGCACAAATTGACACTGGATATAAATACAATTGTCTGCAACTCCCATTTGTCAAGATTTTCGTATCCAGGAATGCAGGTCAACAACAATTACTATAAATAAACCTTCAGTTCAATCAATACAAGCATAATTAGATAACAATAATAATGGCATATTGGCAGCCTGCAGGGCACCACGTCCAGGCTACAATCATTTCCTACATTAGGATTCTCTTTGAGTTAACCTACACTGACAGAGTTGACACAAATAGTTGCTAGAACTGCAATGTTTACGATGAATGTTTTTTTATATATACCAATTTGGCACCATTTTGGTAATCTACCAGTCTATTGGAGTGATTTGAATGCATTTGGTATTTTGAGGTCATCAGCATTGCAATAGGAATTTTTAAAACCTTGCCTATTAAAAGAATTATTTCAAAATCATTGCTTATAAATGCACAATCTAAAAAATATAGCAAAATATAGTCTGATCTAATAGGGGATATATTACTTATTACACCAACCTGAAAACCCCCAAGAACTTATGCTGCTATAGGATAGAAAATTGGAATTTAACATGATCTAACACCATGGCATATTTGATTATAGCGACAACAAAATTGCAGATGGTTGCTTCAAAACAAATGCACCTATTCCTAATAATGAAAGTGTCAGTGACACTGTAGCTCACCTTGGGTGTGATAGAAGAGGGAGGAAGAATCTATAAAGCAAGATTATACATGGGAGAACTCCCATTATATAGCATATCTCCCATTATATATACTCTTGATAATGATATAGGCATAAGTTTTGATGCGAAAATAAATGTTTCAGATCTGAAAGTCTGAAATCTTGACGAGAGATGGCGCTACGCCTAAATGATCGCGATTTTGGTTTTCGAATATCGCGCAAATAAAAACAATAAAATATTCCAGTCAAATTACTGTAACGGAGAATCTAAAACACAATATTACACGTATATAGGTACGATTGTAGAGTTGTTGACCAGTTAGACGAATATAAACGTAATAGGACGTTGTCATCTCTCCCATAGGAGTAACAACTGTTTTGGGGCTAGCCTTACACTTCACATACCAAAATTTAACAAAATCGAATGAATTTAGATGGCCATTTCAGGGGTAGAAATTTACTTTTGAACAAGGGAGTCCGACGGACTCCCTGCCCTCAAAATGAGGGAGTCCGTAGTGTGAAGTTCATAATTAAATATTTGCTGAAAAAATATGGTAATTCCGCGGGGCGGTGCTCCGGAACGAACTAGTTTGTATAGCAGAATTTTCAGGGAGTCACACGGACTCCTGCATATGTCAAATCAGGGAGTCCGCTCTGGAATGAACTAGTTTGTATAGCAGAATTTTCAGGGAGTCACACGGACTCCTGCATATGTCAAATCAGGGAGTCCGACAGTAAATCAGGTATAGTAATTGACTCCGGACTCCCGTTAATTTCGCACCCTGACATTTCCATTTTTGCCAAAAAGTGGACGTGGCTCGAAAGTAGGTCGACTGGCGTGCTCCAAAATAGGACGTTCAAACCTCTCCCATAGAAGTAACAACTGCATGCAATTTGAAACATGTGGGTCAAACGGTTCTTGAGTTATCGTTGACCGTAGGCAGACACTGAAATGCATAGTGAAATTGACAAAATCTACCTAATTTGCATAATTTAAAAAAATATCAAAACCTGTGTGATATGTTTTGGGGCCAGTCCTCATTCACTCACATACCAGAAATGAGCAAAACCCATTGAACCTGAACTGACCATTTCCATTTTTGCCAAAAAGTGGACGTGGCTCGAATGTAGGTCAACTGGGTGCTCCAAAATAGGATGTTTCAAACCTCTCTCATAGGAGTAACAACTATATGCAATTTGAAACATGTGGGACAAACGGTTCTTGAGTTATCGTTAATGTTGACGGACGGACGGACGTACGACGGACGACACCCCATGGCAATAGCTCATCTTGACGATGTCAAGGCGAGCTAAAAACGAAAGGGCATATGATTCTGTGTAGTGTACTCTGCGTTTTTTAAATTGGCCGATGTCAGGTGATCGCAAGAAAGTTTGAGATTCACAAGAAATGGTGGTGGAAATCAAAACGAGTAAGCAAAACTCGAAACGTGCATGTTTTGGTGAATATAGCTAAGTACGAAGGTTCTGAGACACGTTAGTGTTATTCTAGACAGCTGCTGTTACTCATGCAATAACAGTAACTAAGTATAGTAAAAGTGGGGAAAACACGAGACCGGTCGGAAATCCTTTTTGAAATCCTTGCTTTAACAAAGTCAACAATCGTCCGCGCGTGAAAACCACACACAAACCGGTCTGGCTTGACCGATGTAGCAACAATACCTAAGGGGGCGTGGTTTCTGATCACAGGTTCGCGTCGGGCAAAATTCACTCGCTCGAAAATCAGACACGTTTCAGGCAATACGGCAGTCGCGACTCCAGACACGCGATTTCAGAATGAGGCTACTACAGGCATGAGAACAGGTTGAGATGTTTTGGAGGAAATATTGCACACTGTCGTGCTACTTTTTGAAATTTGGAAGGGCAGATAGGCCATTTCCATGCATTCTGGGGTCCATTCTGTTCTTAATAAATGACCTATTTCGTGACTAACAATTCAGACATCATTTTCTATGAAAATTTCAATGTTTTATGTGGCGGTTAACTTAAAGCCTGCCTTAATTTACATTACATAGATACACCGCAATATTTACTGGAGTTCCGTTACTTCTGTGTGAAATTAGACATACTTTTCCTGACTTTTTATGAAGTTTAAATTAACAAGAGCCGCAGAGCGACTGGGCTCATCTGAGGTCTGTTGCTACGGTTATAAACTCAAAATTTCAGTCGTGATAGTGACACCTTTGTTAGGCGCAGATATGTTCGCATAATTATATGCGCTGAAACATGGTGATGGTATACGTAACCTTCGTGAATTGGGTGGAGTACCATAGACATTTTCTACGAAATCAGGCGTGTACGTAGCTACCATAACGCAGATACGCAGTTGCGTACACATCATTTCACCAATGAATGACTATTAGATATAAATGTTATATATATAGATATAAACGTTACTTGGATATGCGAGTAGCCCGAGGCAGTGAGGGCGTAGCCAGCATGTCGTAAACAAAACGCAGCGACACATGGCACCAACGAAATCATTTAACTTCGATAGATGGATTTATTTCTTACGTAGTATAGATATTTTCTTGTGTTACAACACACTGTACTTGCCTGTATAAACATCAATTATCTTTGCAATAAATTTTATTTGAATTTGAATTTGATTTTGAATGCGTGCGAGTACTAGATCTACTATCATCCCTGCACATTCTTTTAAGTTTGTCCCGATAGATGGGGGGCCGTTATCAAAAACATACCGTATCGTGCAATGCAGGACTAGACGGGTCCCTGCCGTCGACTCCACTCACTATGCTCGCTCTGCCAGGCCCAGCGAGGCCTAAGCCGAGAGGTGGGATCGAGTACATTTTCAGCACATATCAGCGGCCACAAAAAGCCAGTCAGTGCGAGAGTGCGAATGTATTCGTACACTAAAGAATCTCATATATAATTATTGTTTAAGTAAGTCAACGTTGTTCAAGTAAGAGTTATGTGTGGAATTTCTAGTGTTGGAGATCGGTCAAAATTTCATGATCGATCATCGGTTTTACAAAACGACCGATGATCGATTAATCATCGATCATTTTAGATTGCGGCAACGACGCGGTGACGCCGCGTCATCGTCGACACATCCGTCGTTAACCATAAGTTGTTTATAATATGAACAAAAAAGGGTCCCTGGAATTTTTTTTAAATGCTTTAATTTAGGAAATAAGTTGAAAAGATGTAGGAAAATTTAGGATTAGGCTTGGTTTTCAGGAAACAGTCGCTTAGTTCCTTGAAAATTTTCACTGCACCGTTTTTACTAGTATATGTGTAAATGTATGTACTTGTGACAAATCTGGAAATTAAAAAAAAAAGAAAAGAAAAAAGTTCGAGTTGTACTCGGTCGTCCGATTTTCTACTCGATTAATCAACTCGGCAGCCCAAACGAGTAATGATCGACGAACTCGATTAATCAGAACACCACTAGGAATTTCACTGTAAAATGTGAGCCTTGCACAACCACAGGTACTGGCAAACGCAGCAGCGTATGCAGTATACAAATCCTTCAAAGGTTAAATGCTTATAATAGTATACCGGTAGACCTACCGTGAGATCGTCTGTTGCAAAAATACACTAGAAATCCTTCAAAGGTGAAATGATTATATTATATATAGACCTACTGTGAGCTCGTCTGTTGCAAAAATTCACTAGAACTTATTTGTATTGCTACTTTCATAACATTTCTTCTCAAAATCTAAACGAAGATACAGCTGTTTAACTTTAATCAATTCGCTATATTAACATGTTATCATGGAAATGCATCGAGCGCGAGCGTAGTGGTGGTGGTGGGGGGCGGGGGTAGGGGGTACAGGGAAGGTTGGGGGAGAGTTAGGGGCGGGTGGAGGGGGCTCTACTAGCAAAAGCAGTTCAGTCCTTTGTTGACAGTCAACAAATCCATGTCTAACCCTCCCTTTGAAGGTCAAAAGGTTATTAGACACTTACTCTTCGCACGTCAGTGGAAAGTACATTTCATGGTCCTTTCAATAAAGTGATAAAAAATGGTAGGTCAGCACTGGAACAAAAAAGTTTTCCACTGGGTCTGTTAGACCATGTCCTCAGAAAATGATATCTTACCTTTCCCCCCTGCCCTTTGACATGTGACCTCCAATTTCGCTCTGGTGATGGGTTTCCTGCCCATCACACTATATTAAGAGCATAGGTCGAGCCGTTCAGATTTGTGCCGCAATTCTGTATTTCCTCCTATACCTTAAGTTAAGGGGGGAAATATCCCTCCGTTGACACATCTTGACCTTTGACCCACAAATTGATCATTCCAGGTACTTTTCACGATCCCCCCCCCCCCCCCCGACATCCCGAATATCGTGACCGTAAGTCGAGCGGTTAAGATTTGTGCCGAACTGTTGACGGACACACGGACGGACGCTAATGCGATTCTACAAGCTGCATCTGACTTCGTCAGATGAGCTAAAAATGGTGTCCATTTTGACAAAAAACGTACACCTTACCCCCTAAACTTTTTATTGCATCAATCTCAAGTATGACTAAAATGAAAACCAAAACCCGGAAATCCGCGAATCCGCAGAAAATTCTCATGCCTGCTACAACCCCCGCGACGGCAGGGAGCAGAAGACGCCCACCAGGGGTCTCTCACCTTCAGCACTGGCGTGGTCGGCGGCGAGATCACCGCCGAGATGACGGGCGAGTACGCGGCGGGCGACTCGGCGTGGGACGGCGCCGCCGACGGAGTCCGGCGACGCGGGCGGGGTCAAGGCGCCGCTCTCGCTGCGCTGCGACGAACGCGAGCGACCCATCAGCTGCGCCGGCGTCACGTACGTCATGAACTTCTTCTTCTCGTCGACCTCGCAGCGCATGTGCCGCACGGCGATCAACTCGTCCGATATGTCCTCCCACTGCGGGAGCGGCAAAGAGGAGACAACGTCAACGCGGCCGTCGTTGTGCTCGTGCGCTGCTTGCGATTTATCTAACCGCTAATTGACCGCGGCGAGCAGTTTACGGAGCGAAGACGCTGCTATGTAGCCAATATTACAGGAGAAAACTGTCACTACGTAAGCATTACACGAGATGGTGTTATGCAGCCAGATATTGTACGAGACAGATGCTACTATATAACCAGATATGACATGAGACAGATGCTACTATATAGCCAGCTATTACGTGAGACAGATGCCTGTGTGACGCTGCTAGGTAGGTAGTGTTGTCAATCGGTTGTAATTTCGTAATCGATCATCAGTTCGACCCAAGTAACCGATGATCGGTTACAATGCGTTACTCGTGGTGTGAATGCCTGCGTGGCGTAACGTCGTTTGCATGTATTGCGTAACGTCGTGTGCATGTATGTGGTTGTTTAGTCCTGTTTACTGTTTGTTTTGCACTGTTTACTACTGTGTGTATAATACATGTATGTTAATAAAGGATAACTTGTATAGTAGCGATGATATCTCTGATTCTCATCACTTTTCCAAGTTTTACATTTATTTCGATTCCCCCCCCCCGATGAAACGATTTATGGATTTTTGATAACCAAAGCGCTTTGTTCGAGCCACTGTTCAACCGATGATCAAGTATAATCGATGATCGTGACATCACTATAGGTAGGCAATGCAAACTTACATCTGGCTCATCATCTCCAGCATCTCCCGAACCTACGTGGTTTACAAGCCCGTTCGACCCAGTAGACATCTTCCTGGCCTTTGGTAAGGGGACAGGTGGTACCTCATCCTCCACGACACGCCACCTGAAGGAAACACGTATGGCGATGCACCACATCATAGAAATAAGTTTTCAATGGACAACGACAACAACAGAACCAGCAACAATTATCTACAAGAATCATAACAACAAGCGGCTACCTCCAGGTAACACACACTTAGAAATTCCCAATAGAGCAAGTGGAAGGGAATATTTGCTTGCCTGTCAACAGATGAAAGTACACCTACAAGCGTGGCTATTTTGAGATGTAATTAACAGAGAACTGACAATACTGGATTTTTTTTTGCTCTAACGTTCAAATTACATGTGTGACGTACACACGTACACGAGATGAAGTCAATAAAATGCACATGGCATAAAAGAGAGAACAGCCAAGTGAGCCTTAGACAGGAACTGTGCTGCTGTTGCATGACTGATATAGACATGACTGCGTAATGTATATGACTACTAGAAGTGTGATAAAAGATACCAGATGTTGGACATATAAACAAATTTTGAGCCAACGTTGTAGTCATATCATTGGTGCACATATAATAAACTTACAATGTGCTCTTAGGCAGAATTATGGTCTACTACTGTAGCTGTCAGCTCACCCCTAGCAGCTAACTTGGGTGAAAAATCTCTTATCTCCCTGATTATCATTTCACTTGCTGCAGCGACTGCAGTCGGGCAACTGTGTGTGCCAAACAGGTACCCACATAATCAATGCAGTAGATGCATGTGCGAATAGGGGTGTCAGTGTGATGCGGGACGCCAACCCATGCAGGCCATGCGCTAGACCAGGTGTTCTTAACCTGTGGTCCATGGACCCCTTTGGGGTTCGCGGATGGGCTTCAGGGTGTCCGTGAACGTCGTGAACCAGGCGCATGCAAAATTATTGTGTTTATGTGCTTATGTGCATTTTTCTGGGGAGGGGTTTGTAGATTTCACCAGATTCTTAAAGACGTCCATGACTCAAAAAGAGGTTAAGAACCACTGTGCTAGACGGTTTTATACTTGTACCCGAACCTGCCGACATTCGCCTTGTTTTGCCCACTTACTTTGGAGTGATGATTTCCTTGTACTGAAGCTTCATGATGCGTGCCGACGCCGCCATGCTCTCTGGAATGACTATGTTGTTGATATCAAACGCGTTCTCGGACTTTCGGAACGGTCGACGAAGCAGGTCCTTCCCGCCCTCCAGCTTCCCGTGCGAGTGGCCAGCGACGACGTCGGACAGCATCGCGGAGCCGGGCGGCGACGGCGACATCATCGCGTTGCCGTACGCGTCATTCGGGAAACACATGGCGCGCTGCTTCTCCTGCTTCTTCATGGCGGCGAGCGCCAGCCGCGCGGCCTTCCGCTGCTTGCGACTCTCGCGCAGCTCGGACTTGCACAGCCGACTGTTGCGGCCGGAGTTCTTCAGCGCCGCCGCCGCGGTGGACGGCAACGACAGGGTCTGCAGCCTCCCACGCTTGCCGTTGTTCTCGACGAGCTTGTTGCGCAGCTCTGCCACGAGAGATGCAAGATGCGTTTTGCGTTACGATTCGGTTATGCTCAGGGATCGAGTGACCACAGCGCCGCTCAACTAGCTGCATTAAAATCATCGATGCAGTGAGATGATAGCCAGGGCTACCGCTGTCGTTCGCCACCTTCGCAAGTTGCGATAAATAAATAACAGTGGCGATTTTACTACACTAAGTGGCGAATACAAATGGCAATGGTTCAACTGCTCACAAAATTACGCTTGTATAATAAAATCGTCAAACTTCAGTGTCGTATCGTAAAATGTTTCCGTGCACTTCTTTTCCCATACCCACCACCTGTTTATGCCTTGCCTAGCACATGCGATGAAGTGAACTGTGGCTATAGTTTTTCACTGGTGGCTCAGTCTTTGCTCAAACTTTAGAACATCCAGAGGGAGCCCTAATAGCAGTAGCTATTTTATTGAGCAGACTTTGCTTTATCTGTTATTCTCTTCTAATAAAATCATACTATTTAGGGGTCCTAGTCATAGCATTCTACCCTAAATCGAATTTGCTCTAAAGTCTAGGACAGTCCATACCCTAAACTAAACTCTCATACATATCAAACGTCAAAAGAATGAAAGTACACAATAACATTTCTCTCGTATATACTGAGAACTTAAATTTCATTTAAAACTTAATTATCTCTCAAATTGTAAAGAACAGTCAAGAAAATATGGTTACGGTTGGAAAAAAAACATGAGAAATCCTTGCTTTGAACCGGGAATTATCATAAAAACCTCGCCATTAAACAATAGCTGATGGAGAATCAAAACAAACATTCACAATGGCATCTACCGACATTCTTATTTTTCAATGTATCAGCCTGACCACGATTTTTCTTAGCAAACCTCTCATAAATATGCAATTGTCATTCATCCTAATAGAAATCTTAGGACAGCAATTACAAACTTCCATTTGCCTGCAAACAACTGCAATTCTAAGGTTTTTACACAAATAGAAGGATTCTGACACACTAGTTCTAAATTTCAAGTGTTGTCCTAGCAGTCTCCACTTTTGCCTCAACGTTAGTATCGTTAGTCACTAACCAATAAAAAGGACAAACTTTACTACACAAATTTTGACACGCAGATGGCTGACCTATCCCCTTGCGCGTACCGCACAAGCACCCTCCATATGGTACGAACACCTACAGTGCACATCACATAAATCGACTAAGCCGGCACACCCACCGCACAAGCTATGTACAGTAACACTCCCAGCAATGAGACTACAGTGTACTTACTAGCATTAGACAGTAAAAACGCTGCTGCATTTTTCAACTTCAACCGTTTGATCCTCTGTTCCGCGTGGTTCTTCAGCCTCCGTCTGAAAGCCCATGCATAAAAGCTGCTGATGAAACTTGATAAAGAGAAGAATAACTTGCTGCTTCTCCGATTACAACATTTTGGTAACCAAGAGAAGAACATGGATGCACAGCCAGTGTTCTTCCCCTGAAAATGGTTTTTAAGCTTGGCAATGTCTAATATTATACAGGCTAGCTGTCTACAACGTCTCATAATGCATCGAGGATACACAGCATCAAGGTGATTTGTAAAGATGCTCATAGCAGAAATGGAAAAAAGATGAAATTTTCTAGTGGGTAAAGGCAACTTTTAATAATGCTAAGCTTGATAACATAAACATTAGTTGCCTCAAATAGACCTTAGACCTTAAAGCCCCCTCCTTATGTACTAAAGCATAAGAAATGCCACTTGCAACATCTATTCATACGCTTGGTACAAGAATACCTGGAACTATATATCCAATTTATCTCCTATAATACTTAAAATTTCATTACATCCGTTTTTCAGATTGTAATATCATTAGAGTTTGTAAGACAAAATCATGTAACAAATCTCTTGTCTAATAATGATAATTAGGTTTCCTGCAGCATTCCCTATTCAACAACCTGTTCATTGGTATAAACCCACGCCTGCTCTTAGTAATGACATGCCGTATCAAATTGTCATTTCCATGCTCTAACTGTAAGTTAATTGCCTACTAGGCAAGAAGATTTAATGATTTCACTTTCACTGACAGTTTCTTTGCTATGAGAAAATTCTTACTTTTTGTATGTTGTTGATGATGATGACGATGATGATGATGGGCCAAGTGTCTGCTTAGGGGATGCCTTTGTTTGCCAGTCTCCTGTCTTGAGCAGGGATTCAAAATGATGCTGGAGTGGTACTTCTAAAAAACAACACCAACTCAGTGTAATATTGTCATTCTATTTTTCTCAAAGCAAAGCAACGCTATCAATTGACAAACTTCTCACGAACTTGCCCCTCTCGCACCGCAGTCGAATGAAACTTACCTTGGCAAAATGAAAGGACTTGATGGTGTGAGGGGTCAAGTAGGCCAATTCTTTCAGGTAGTGACATTGTGTCGGGGTCCAGAGTCTGAACGTTGTTGAAGCGGCCACCGCACATCACGCACGAGGTGATCGGAGCCGCGCAGCCACACTTCACCGTGGACAAGCGCGCGGCCTTCCGATTGATGTAATGTATGCCGGCCGCCCTCAGCAACTTCCTCTTCCTGTAGCTACGCAGGGGTCTAGTCCTGGCTGCGCAGGCCGTCACATCATCCTGGCCAGGTGCTACAGCAGGTGTACCGGGTGCCGCTGCCTCCGGTAAACCACCTGTCGTGGAGGTAACGGCAACGCTGTTTGCACTGCTCTGCGACACGCGAGGCGCCAGCGCTGTACCGCCCGCAGCCTGCTGCTGCCCTGTCCGACTGTCGTCGTCGATATACCCGTTCACAGGCTTTTGCACGAACCCATCTCTGCGTGCGGCTGCCCTCGAGCTATCACTGCTATGGAGCGGAGACAACTCGTTAGGATGGGCTTCTACGTAACGTTCCATGTTGGAGATTTTCGTCTCCAGCGGGGACAGCCGACGAGCCGTTCTATTCACGATCCTCGCACGTGCCATAACAGCATCCATCTTCTGGTCACCCAAAACCACAGGTCCCTTGTTAGCACGGATCTGCTTGTAGATATCATTCTGCTGACGTATGCGGTACTCTAGATCCGACACCTGTGCCTGCAGCCACGTCCATCTGCTGGCGATTGCCGCTCTGTCTACTGACCATTTCCACGATGCTCTCCGATATCTAATCAACATACAAGCAGGTAAAAAATTACCTCGATGCATTTACATATCATTAGTGAACGTAAAATCACACCACTTTGCACGTACAGCTCATTACGTTTCTTTTATAACCACCACGGTTATCTAAAAAATCAATGAGAATAGAAATCACAATTTTCGTAATGATCTGCGCTCTCTCTGTCTGACGGTCTGTTCACAGCAGCCATGTAATCGCAGACCAACTTTCGTTGTATGCAAATCATTGAGTGTTTGTCACGAGTACCATTAAACCATATCAAGTTCTTTTTGAAAAGCATTCACTAAGTACTATCATATTATGGAGTATTTGTTAAAACAGCATTAAATTTAGAAACATGCAACCTGTGTGTACGATTTGACGTTACACAGATGCAAAGATGCACTGCTGTGTAGACATGTGCGTACATAAGTACAGACAAGTGTGTACACATCTAAACCACTGCCACCCCCTATTACATTCTGCTACTGCTGCGCACAAACTATTCCTGCTGAGAGGAGGCAGTCTAGCTGCCACATCTCAAGCCATGTGACTCAAGCCCTTCATTAGTCAGTAGGCTGTTGTGTGTGTGTGCTGTACTCTTGTACTCATACAGTAAGCACGCTACGCTAGGGGGGGCTCTACAGGATCTCATCAATACAGCATGCTATTTCACAGGCAGCATGCTGTGAGTGTGAGCTCAGCAAGTACCTACATACATATTCATGTGGACAGAAATCTGTAGTCTATAGAGCAGCTAGCCTATTATGTTCAACACACATCACTGAACCCACTAGGTCGGTAGGTGTAAAGCAGTCATGCAGGCAGGCAGGCAGGCAGGCAGGCAGGCAGGCAGGCAGTCATGCAGGCAAGCAGGCAGGCAGGCATTTTAGAATTATAGTACATTAGATCTGGTAATACAAGCTATGGTAGATAGATGCCTAAACTACACGTGACACACGATCACGCACATGTCATAAAAGACACATGACAACATTGCGACATAGGCCCAAGGCATGACCTATTGCACATCCACCTGCCCCGAGGCTAGTAACATACTCAGCACAGTGCCATCGTCATTCAACTACAGGATCATCTAACTCACAAGCCCACGTAAACAATCTTTTCCTTTCTTCAAAAAACTAATCATAATGCCCATAATTATTGCCTACCTGAGAACAAAAAGATATCATATCAATGCTATGCTCCATCACTAAAATTACTTTCAGACACACGGACTTCTTTGAAACAAAAAATTGTTGACTCAAAGAAATAACACCATGATGAGAATTTAAAGTTAAACAGTGTCCGATAACAGCCTACTTCGCAACTGCTCAGATATTTACCTAATGCAATCTATAATCAGATAAACCTGTTTAATAAATTTGCCAACTCTGACTACATGTACATCCTGTTCCTTCTCATAGACCCATTGTCACCAATATCATACAGTATAATAGTTGTTAGTTCGTTTGAAGACACTAGAATAATATCACTTCTGCGATAGAATAAGATTATTGCAATTTTTACCAAAAAGAGTAAATTCCGATTTATCTTAGATGATAGATCTATGTACTCTTCAACAAAAACTCAATTTTTTTTATATATACATTATTTTAGTTGGCAGCTTGAAGAATGAGTGGCCCAAGTATTACTATTTTTAAAATTAGTAAAATGAAACTCACATAAATGTAAATATTTGAAAGCACCCCCTAAAAATGCTTGTCTTATAAGCCGTGACATTCATTCTATGCTGTACATAGATTTAACTATGTGATAAGGCAAGGCTCGACACTAACTTTTTTTTTCAGTGGCCCGATCGGGCCACCAAAATCATTGATTTTCAATTTTTGGTGGCCCGAAAATGTAATCTGGTGGCCCGAAAAAAAACAAAGAAAAACATTATAAATCTTTATTTCAATCTCGTATTGTATATTATTTGAAAATTGGGCCGTCTGATGCACTTGCACAAGTCTTTAAACAAACCCCACACACTGACATTGATGATTGAGGCATACATTTGAATTGTCCATTCCACGGCATCAAATTTTCACCAGAACCGCTGATTCTGGTTCGCTTGATACAATGTACACACACACACACACACACACACACACACACACACACACACACACACACCAACAAACACGTGCGCACGTATAATATGTTTGTGGAATGCTATATATGATTGTTGAAAAGAGAAAATCGATGTTTGGTAATCGATGGTTGTAAATCTCAAATCTTATATATCGCCTAGCTGGCAAAGTATAGTTGTAATACATATATATATAGTGGTAAATATATGGTACACATATTATATGGTACACAAATATATGGTGAATAATGGTTTTTATTGCAGATTGCTTTTAATAAAATATTCAAGATTTCATATCTTCATGAATTTGTCTAAGTGAATCACGTATCATTATTTGCATTAGATCCAATGTCTGAGGACGAGTGCATGTTTGTGGTTATGCTCGTACGCAAATCGAGACATAACGGTTGTGACAAATATTATTATTATGAGAATAAATTGTGAATACAAAATTGAAGGTGAATAATAAATAAAAGTAAGAATAATATATAAGACGTAATATGCATGCAACTCAAATACATGTAATATAGTATCAACATATATCGTGTATCATATATCATACAGAACAATGTATATTATAACACACACGCGTGCGCGCACGCACGCACTTATACACACACACGCACGCCCGCACGCACGCACTTATACACACACACACGCACGCCCGCACTTATACACACACACGCACGCCCGCACGCACGCATATACCGTAATTAATAATCCATGATCAAGCATCATAACTAATCACAACGTGAGTAAATGATATATACGCGAATTATTTATGCTTCTTATATCGTATATGGTATGTTATCAGCATGTTATGTATATACTCATGATAATATTATATGATTTGTGCAACCCACGTTCTTGATTTGATCATTTGATTCACGTTAGATTATCATTCTTCGCTGCAGTCCCTTGGATTATAAAGCATTTTCTATTCTCTTTGTGAGGTTATAATATGATTAATTATGTTGTTTATGCTGCAGACGATTTTTGGGTTCTGCTCACTGATCTCAATAATAATATTTTATTAATAAAATTTTATTATAGAGATCAGTGGTTCTGCCACTGGTTCTGCTGCTTTACTAATTTTTATTCGCTAGGTAGCAGCACCTACCTGAACCTGAGCCTAGTCAGAGCCAAGGAGCTACATATAACATTATATAAATTATATATAACGTTATATGTATAGCTCCTTGGTCAGAGCTACCTCTAGTCAGAGCATATAAATCAGGCAGGCATGACTCATCAGCATATAAGTCAGCATATCATCAGCATATAAGTCAGTCATATATTATTTAATTCGATTTTTACCATAGTTTTTTTTATATGTGAACAGACTCACAAGTATAATTCGTACACACTGTGAGAAGCACTAAAGCTGTGTGTAGTCTTAGAAAAATGCCATAAGGTTATAAATTAGCCCATGCTGGTGGCCGTGTTCCATTACCAATACCATGTTATATTACCAATATAATCCTAACAAGCAAGTATTATCTTTAAAGTTCAATTTAATATATTCATAGACATTGTAATTATGGACAATATCAGTATCATTACAATATATCCCAAATACATACAATATATTAAATGATTACAATATTTATATATTATAATATAATTATAAGTAGTAACACCACATTCAATCTGTGCCATATATAGTTTTTCAATAATTATACTGTAACTAGTTAATAAACACCTGATATATTTACACCAGGTCACATAAAAATAATTACAAATCTGAAATGTTAAGCCTTATAACCCCTCTTAAGATTTCATTTGATCTAAAATGGATATGAATGTACTTATACAGAAATCAGCATTTTGAGGTGCCATATGAAATAACACCGCATTGTACATTGTGCATGTACATACACCCAGACACGGTTATTTCGTTCAGTTGTCAGACACGATTGGTCTGGCGATGAGCTCCTTCATGATCTCATTGCTTCCGGCGTAGATTGGTTGGACTCGCGCGTCGACATATGCCCTGGCTATAGGAAATTCCCACATGTATCCCCAGCCACCATGAAGCTGAAGACATTGGTTTGCAATCTTGTTCTGCAGGTCAGATGCCCTGAGAAGACAAACACAGGAACGTTATACATTTTACACACTCACACACGCATGAAGTATATACTTGCCCCAGAGTGCCTCTTGCAATACAACATCACAGACCCTAAGGTATATCAGCTTGAAGTGCTATTACTTTGAATGCTGTTCTGGCTTTCTATTTCTGATTTTTATTTCTCTTTTTTTTTCAGTTACTAATGTCCTTTGTCTTTAATCAGTTAATAATCTCCTTGATTGTTGACAATAGCACCAATGTATGCAAATTTATAAACGTCAGTAACTTCAACATTGTTGATCTTCAGCCCATCTTATGACTCAGTGCAGACTTTCAACACTTCTGGTTAACCTTGAGAGGCCATATTAGCCTATATTCATGAGTTAGTTTAACAAAAGAATAATTTCGCAAGTTATAATTGCAATGATGATAGTGAATACCATCTTGACAAGAGTGTGCATATAGGAAAAATCTTATAGCTATTTGGAAATAGACACAGAGCACAAACAAGAGATCAGCAGCAATAGGGATGCAGTGGTTTAACACCAAAAAGTAGCTTACAGATATTTAGCCATGGAGACTGAGTAGTTATCTAGAGTCTCATGCTGATGCTGCTGCAAGCACTGGTCGTAAAATGCTCTCATCATACATATTTCACTCTTCATCTCGGCCAGCTTGTGTTGAACTGTCTGCAATTAAACAAAATAATGGCATAATGACATAGCCAATATAGCTTCAATGAATGATTTACAATATATGTATATATATATAATTTTAAATATCAGTATTGAACTCACATGTTGGTATGTAAAAGGTGTTTGAATAAGAATATATACTAGAAAAACACGGATACATCTCTTGACGTGTTACGTTTGACTGACAAGGATGACTGGGGAGGTTTTAGAACGAAATGTCGTACCTTTCGATGTAAATTTATAATATATATATATATATATATATATATTTATATATATATATATATATATACTTATCGTGTAAGAGGATTATTAAACGTCAACTACTTACACCGAGTGATGCTGCGTCTCGCACGTGTCAAACTCCTCCTCGTCGCAGCTCTCGCCACCCGAACTGCTATCGGTCGCCTCCGAGTCGAGCACCCTCTCCAGGTGACCGAGGTTGGCGGCGAGGCTGCTCGACACGCAGCTGATCTCGTCGCACAGGTCGTCGCCGAGGGCGACGGTGACCTGGTCCTCGCTGTGAGCGCCGCGACTGCTGTACAGCCGCTGACGCTGCGAGCCGTGGGCGCTCTCCAGCTTCCGCACGAGGTTGACGAGGGCCGCCGTCGACAGGTTCTTCACGTCCTCGCTCTGCAGCAGCTCGGCGTGAAAGTCGCTGCTGTTCGGCGCGCTGCAAGTCCTCGTCGTTGATCGCACGCACGACTGCAGGTTCTTGCGCTGGTGCTGAACGAACGCCACCAGCTGTTCGCGCACATGCGTGTTCGTCTGCATCGTCTGCAGCCGCCGCAGACGCTGCAGCAGCCGCTCCGCACGTCGTTCCAGGTAAACCTGCCGCTTGCCGGCGTCCGCGAGCCTATCACACACGAGAGACTTCAGCAAGGTCAGTTCGGATTGATCGTCAGTATCCATGGCACTCTCGTCCAGCTGTGTGGGAGAGACAGCTTCTGGCTGCTGAACGGTGGTCCTATTCTCGGCCAAAATGCTGCTGGCGATTGGGGATGACGAAGAACTGTTGCGTTGTCCCGTCATGTCTAGCTTTGGATTGCCGTTTGTGTTAGAACCACGTAGGTTACACGTCGCTTTCTGAATTCTATTTCCTCCCGTTTTCTGGTCGACGTCCATTGTGTTCACAATGCCAAAATTGTTGTTGGTCGCTGCAAGCTTCCGCAGTAGAGCCGGGATGTTGGCTTCTTTCAACTGACTGTAACCGTTGTGCGGCCGCACCAGAATCTGTGCCTTTTGAGCCTGCACGGGAGAGACAGCCCGCTCGCTTGCTGTGGGACTCTCACAGTCCCGCTCCCTATCAGTTTCCGGCGAGCTCTCAGATGGCGGCGGTGATGGAGGAAGTCTGAAACCTGAATGCACGGACTGCCTAATTGCATCCGACAATGCAGGCGCCATCGCGAAAGGACGGGACAGCCTCAATGGCCAGCGTGAACACATACAAGTGGTAGAATAGCAGATGCAAGATTCTCCACCTGATGATCCATAACGCCCACCTGGATGTCTCCCACCTGGTGAACGAAAATGCACATCAACATATAATTACAAATATGCAAATGCTTCAACAATATCACAACTCTGACTTTCGGAATTATTTCAAGTTAAATTAGGCTTTAATTCTGCTGCAGACTAAATTACATTCTTCAATATGAACAATACATAAACACCAGATTTTAAAAATTGACCATGTGCGATGATGAACGATGCCACTGTTTGAGCTACTTCTTGCATCAGTGACACGAGAACATTTGCAGGGCCTAATTCAGGCCATTTTTCATACTGAATACGGGCCTCCCAAATTACGTCCCCTAGCAAAATGCCCAAATTACAAAATTCATAAAACGCCCAAATTAGCAGAGCTCTGATGCAGATCTCCATGTTTCTATCGTCATGTTGTAGGCACTGTTTTATAATAAAATGCTCATATAAGATCTATAATCTATTATCTGAATAAAATGTGTCAACCAAACGTCCAATTTAACGTGATAGATAAGTATATATACAATTTCCCTGTACGGTTCCCCGATTAGGCTAGATACATAGATTAAGCCCCGATTTGTAAATGGTTATTCCATGTACCACAGAGAGAGCGATAGTGCAATTCATCCTCTCTTATATTAATGATTACAAACCCCACATTCCATGTTTATAAAATGCAAAAAAAGTTCATAAAGCAAGTTATGTGAGCGAGAGACAGATCACAGAATGGCATCATCTCAATGTGCACATACGGTAATCAATAATAAAACACTATCTATAAACATGTTAAATGTCAAAAATATTACACCTGTCATAGCTTTCCAAATACAACATTTATTCACAATGATGACAATAGTTGTAGGCTGAAGCATAATTTAGACAATTCACAGAAATTATATGGAGGCCAAAGGTGATAACAAAGTGGCAGTCAGCCTGTAAAAGTATCTCTGGAACTAGCCACAAGTTCCCTTCTCGCTTAACACTACATTGGCCTACGACGTGCAACAGTCGGAGAGCCTGGTCGGTTTACTCTGGAACTATAATTAATGTGAGTACCCTTGAAAGTGGGTGACGAATCAGATGACGTAACATCATGAGTTATTAATACGCTGTGGCTATATGGCAGGCAGCCGGGCAGTCTTCGATTTCCTAAATGCCCTTAAACCCTAACCCTTGTTTACTTGAGATAATGCTGAAAATTAAAAAATGCCGTGCATTTAGGAAATCGAAGACCGTGGCCGGCAGCCGTCAGATATATGCCGGCTGCCGGGCATATAGACACTCTGTTATTAATATTATTGCGTCGTATACATACACTACGACACTAGGCCTACAATACATGCATTGCTACGACTCATGATGACTCGAACACGAGTGGCGTTTATCAAGGAACGAAGGCGTAACAAAATATCTCTGGCATGCATGCTGTTGTCCAAACTAACGTACCAACGACCCTCCACGCCTGCTCCCCCAGGAACAGGATGGGTCTGTGGGGTGAAGTGGAAATTGCTCAGTTGCTAGACCGTTCTTCTTCCTTGACAAGAACTAGGTTGATGACAACGGCGTGACAGCTTTCAGTCTTCCTCTGTGCATTTTAATAAACAAGCAAATTGACAACAATTTCAAAGTGCACAGTGAGGTAACTCATGCATTTAGGCATTTTTATTGACGTTTGTAAAGATACATAAGCCAAACGTAAATTTTTGGGCGTTTTGCAAGCTGGAGCGTACAGAACAGAAGACCGCGAGCGGGTTACAAATACGCGTAGGACAAACCACGTGATCAGGCCACGTCCCCGATGAACAAACAGGCGAATCAACATTTTTGGCAAGAACACATAGTAGCGATTTCCACCTTCTTACACGTAGTACAGCACATTATACTCACTCCACTGTAACGTCTCTGTATTGTTTTCACTAGTGCCGTCCGAATAAGCCAGAAATTTCCGCGAACTAGTATCGAAAATGTGCAATATCAAACGCCTCAATAATGGCGACGAAATGAAAGTCCGTAGACCTTCCAGACAACGAAAACGGGCGAGATAGGATGTGTGACGTCACATTAGTAAGACCCCTCTACGGCGTATTTGGTGATTGGTTACGAAGAAACTGCTCACTGTTACAATAATTGACTACCTCCCCAATAAACTTACAGTTATATGCAAATTAATGTAAAAGTATAGCTTACCAATTTTAACATATAAAAAATATAAATTTTGAACACATTTTTATATTTAAATAGTACAACTTATTTTAGCGAAATTATATTTTGCCTGGATAAAGTTGCAAGTTTCATCGCCATATGGGGGTGGCAGCAGAACAAGTATCCGCCCATGTACAAAGGTACATGCTACAAGCGCCCTAGAAAATTTCGCGGGGTTTGCGTTCGGATTTCGGCCGACTTGGATTTTGATATATGAATGCAAGCAACTTCTGCATAGTCTCCAGTAAACATTATATGAGTCTGATACATACACATGCACGCACGCACACACGCACGCACACACGCACACACACACACACACACACACACATGATCGCAAATATTCGAACCGAAAATAACCGAACCGAAATGTGAAAACCGAAAACCGAACCGAACCGTGAAGTTGTGATTCGTTGCACCCCTACCTTTGACCCCCAGCTTCGACATCCCAACTCGTTTTGACGATCCCCCCGACGTCCCGAATATCATGACCGTACGTCGAGCGGTTAAGATTTGTGCCCAACTGTTGACGCACGCACGCACAGACGGCCGGACGGACGCACGCTCATGCGATTCTACAAGCTGCATCTCACTATGTCAGATGAGCTAAAAATGAAATGACCGCCGATTTGAAGGCAATCCGAAACACCCGACTCTTATAAGATGATGCAGTCCTCCTTTCTTGCCATGGACGTGATAAACGTGGCAATCCATGGTTTGAGTTGTCCAAGTGGCGCCAGTCAGTTTCATAGCAGCAAGAGATTTAATTGATATTGTGACTCACTCGTGACTAAAATAGGGTTCGGAAGAGTTATTAGGAATTTGGCACTATTGCTTTATCAGTTTTTGCTAATGGGTGAATCTATACTAAGTAGTCCTATAGTAATATTGATATTTATACTTATACAAAACATTATAAAAATAAGTATAAATATTAAAATAAATGAAAGTGTCAATAACACTGTAGCTCACCACAAAAAAGGACACAAATGAGTGAGTGAGAAGAAGTCAGTTTTAATTGAGCAACCATCGACGTACATTATAGAAACGAAATTGCCATCTGTATATCGTATAAATAATTTATAAACCAAAATGAATCACAATTTGTGACGGTAGATGGCGCTATACCCGCTTTGATGTTTCTTAGCATAAATCATTATATCATAATAATAATAGTATAAATCATAATATGTTCATAGCAGGAATTTTGCATTATCGTTGACCCTAGCCAAATGTTGACGGACGGACGGACGACGACCCATGGCAATAGCTCAGCTTGACGATGTCAAGGTGAGCTAAAAAGAGGATATTCAAAAATCAACCCTTTGCATATAATTATAACGCATGTGAACCAATTACATCACAGGCCACATAACCAGAATCATCCTGCTAATTGCTACCAGATGTTGCCTGCTCTATCACTACTTCCTACACATACCAAAGCCACCCAGACCGATGACAAACGTCTTCATGAGTAGAAACTGGTTCTATGATACCAGACAGTTTATATATAGAGATATATATATAGTACCAGAAGTTAATAAAGACAAAGGAGTTTGACACGTATTTGGTACTGATTTCACTACATACTCGGTCTGTAGCCCTTGGCTGGAAAGTGGTTTTGCGCAACTTCTCAGATCGTGCGCTTTGAGTGGCGCCACCGTCGTTGTAATCAAACTGTAGTAGTTAGTTTTAAAACATTTTTTTTTAATATTTCTAATGGTGATTGAACCATGAAACTTTTTATGTAGCGCAATTATAACCTAAATTAGCTGAAAATAACCCTAGAACCTAGAGGCTACTGTTCCTTTAAATTAATAAATAAGAAACACCCTCGGTCTGTAGACCTTGGCTGAAAAGTGGTTTTGCGCAACTTATCAGATCGTGCGCTTTGAGTGGCGCCACCGTCGTGTAATCAAACTGTAGTCGTTAGTTTTAAAACATTTTTTAATAATATTTCTAATGGTGATTGAACCATGAAACTTTTTATGTAGCGTAATTTTAACCTAAATAAACTGAAAATAACCCTAGAACCTAGAGTAAAACTGTTAGGGTTAGAGACGAATTTTTGGTCGAAATTTCACTACCCACTTTATTTGATAGATCGCACCCATGGGCAGCTATGTATACGTAGAAATTATGTATGTACCCTCCCAAACAGATCCAAATCCCCTCATTAGACAATTATTAACACAGGAATCATGGAAAATTTAGAAAAGTGCTAATATCTCCATCGTTAGAAATGCTGACTTGTCAAACGCTATTTCTCGAAACTCACAACTCCGATTCAATTTTTTTGTTACAGTTTAATGCTAACATATGAAAGGAAAAAAGTGTCCCTGTAATTTTTTTTAAATATTTTATTTTAAAAGTTATGGCTCTTTGTTTACGAAATTGTTGCGTTTTGAAATTCACTACAAATTTTCGTACATCTTTTCAACTTCTTTCCTAAATTAAAGCATTTAAACAAAATTCCAGGGACACTTATGGTTAAACGTTTAGGTCCCAACTCTGCTGTTTCAGAGAAATAACAAAAAAGCATGTTTTTGTATAAATTCACAATTTTTGCAGTCACTTAATTAGCAATAAATTTAAAAAAAAATTTCATCGAGAGCGTAGAGAGACATCTCTCGTATGTATACATGGATATGAGTTTGATTGAATTAGATGAGTTATGTTGCAATGCCCTTTACAGTGTTACACGTCCATAACCCTAACAGTATCCTTAAAGAAATGTTGTAAATAAATCGTGACAAACTATTTTTTAATAACGAGTCCTACACGACGTGAATGCTGTGATTTGCTCTTCTATGTAAGTCTATATTACCACATCAACTTCCCAAGCCACATGACTGGCCAACGTGAGCCAAATGACTGGCCAATAAACACTAACCTCGATGGGGAGTTAGTTCAAACCAAGATTATAATTTTCATATTATCAGAATTAGATAATAGGAAAGGAGTGTGACTTCAATAAACAAGGGAAATTCGTCATTTACTAGCCTTAGAATACCTACTTAGAATGGAGAATCGTGTCGTACGTTTTAGTCTGTATCTCCGGATTGCGGGCGTATACAAGGAAACGATTTCGCACGATGCTAGGCGAATGTACCGTGTACGATTTGAGCTCAAGTTGGTTGAGTTACGCGCAGTAAATCGTAGGTATTCGAAGGCTAGTAAATGACGAATTTCCCTTGTTTATTGAAGTCACACTCCTTCTCTATTATCTACTTCTGATACTATATATATTCATATACCAAGTTATACGAATGGCTGGTGCACACATACTGTAACATGTGTCACATGACTGGCCACAGTGTTTGAGTAGAAAGCTTGCCTTTCCAAGCCTCATGAATCATTGCCAAGACGGAAACCGCACCTGTGCTTTCAAGCCAAGTTTCTTCAGTTTCTTGCCCTTCTTGAACCCTTCCATACCCTCCTCCACCAGAAACAAGCTGATACCACGGGCCGCACTCTTGGCCGTTGGGTCTGTTACTGCTACGACAATAACAACGTCTGCCATGTGACCATTGGTAATGAAGACTTTGCTTCCATTAAGAATCCAGCCATCTCCATCTTTTTTGGCATTGGTTTTAATGCCTTGAAGATCACTGTTATGGAAAAGTAGAGCTGGAAGATATTCTTGAGAAATATATGATCTATACAAATATATCTGTTCACGTCTATTTCATACCTAGTACATTGAAAATTCCACATAACTCCTTCAAGAGCCTATTATGATATAGGTTTAATTATATCACTACTATAAATTAACTTTTTTCTATATATACTGGTAAAAGTTGAAGCAATGGTAATATTGAAGCTGACAACTATTTTGTGAACTGACAGTTTGAAACGGGGGATTTTTGGCCCAGCATGATAGCTGCAAAGGTGACATGACAGCTTGGCTTGGACATTGCACATGCTGGGCACATTACACAGCAAATAACTCGGAAACTAACGGTAGAGAATGTTTACTCTCACCTGCCTGCTCCAGGTTCTGTCATGGCAATAGCTCCTATTTTCTTTCCAGCTGTCATGGCAGGCAGGAACTTCTCTTTCTGCTCGGTAGTTCCGTAGTGACATATATAGGGCATCACAATGTCTGAGTGCAAGGCCCATCCTGGGCCTGATGCGCCAGAATACCCCCTGGAATTAATTATCAATACAATTACAGACAGGTCGGTCAATCCATAGTGCTTCAAGGACATACGATTTGTACCAGATGCACCTTTGAAACCATTTTTCTCATTATTTTATCCTAACAAGTTGGTACACAATTGCTATAGTTATTTGATAAGTACACAAGCAGCTTTGTTTAAACATATAGTTTATAGATGATTTTAAAATTAACAGCATTCCTGCAGAATGGTTGCATTGGTCTGTCACTAGCTGTGCACTGCAGTCATGACTAACATCCATGGGCAGATTAATCTTCTCCCAAACTACTGCCCTATTTGCAACCATACTTACCATCCATGCTCAGTGGGGGTAGATAGAATGTCAGTGAGACCACCTCCTTGCTTACACATTTAAGCCAGTGTTATTGATGTAGGTAAGTCAGTGTCATTCTAATAACTACAGGTGACATCTATTAAATCTACTAATAAGATGAGCGAGAACCCATTAAATTCTCATCTAATATGAAGGACGTATTTCTTACCAAATTCAACTAGGAAGGTTAATTACTGCATTATAAGCAAAATCACAAACTCCCACACAAGCACAATCACACACATGTGCGCACATAACCACATTTAAAACAGTAAAACACATACACACAAATAGCTATTAACTCAGATAAGTAATTATACTTACTGCTCATCCCACACGATAGAGCTTGTGAGGATATCACTGCCAATGCCTCCCTCCTCTGCAGGTGTACTCACTCCCAACAGTCCAGCTTCACCCGCCTTCTCCCACACCTCACGGCTTACTTGTCCATCGATCTCCCACCTGCAACATTTGCCATTTTGCATTTGTCACATAATATTACTATCAAGAGGTAAGGCCTACCTAAGGAGGTATACCTAAGGTGTTATTAGCTCTTGTTACTAAGAATAAAACTTACTACTTAATTTCAAGATTCGCCTGTTTCTGTCACTCACCTGAAACATGCAGAGTTATACGACCAGTATAGCATCTTGGGATGCGTGAAAACAAAGCTTCATGTCAATGATGCGGCATGACCAACAATAGTGGTAGCGAGCGAATCACATTTGATTCTAAACAGCGCTGCACAAAATTATGTCCAGAAAACAGCACTAACCAAACGAGCGACTTCTCAGTACCCGGGTCCAACAACAAGATACGTAAAACTCACTGGTCGTGATAGGGCATGACCTCCTCTTGGAAGAAACGGCGCACATTCTTTCGAAAAAGATCGTGCTCATCGGAGAAAATACGTCGAGTGCCGATGTCGGTGAGCTTTTCCGACTGGCCCGGCTCGGGCCGATCCATGTTGCAGCATCCTCTAGACAAATTAATAGTGTCTATTAGATGCAATTAACCTCTCCAGGTAAACAGGAATAAATGACATACAGCCCATTACAGCGTCATATATTGCACAAATATATACAACAATTAACCAGTCTCTCGTTTGCTACAATACACGTAGACAATCACAACACTGTCAGCAAAGATGAGAAATGGAGTTGATATTAATTATTATTAGGTTTCTAAAAATCGGAAGATTTGGCATTCTGCCACTATGCAGTCAGTCTGACGATCTAGGTGTTGAAAGTGCACATGTATGTGTGTAGAACTATTTAACACAAATTTGGAAGCTGGGCAGAAAAGAACAAAAGCAACCATATCTTTTAAGGCACATGGTTAAAGGGAGAGTTTACTCTAGGTTCTAGGGTTATTTTGAGCTAATTTAGGTTATAATTACGCAACATAAAAAGTTTCATGGTTCAATCACCATTAGAAATATTTTAAAAAAATGTTTTAAAACTAACGACTACAGTTTGATTACAACGACGGTGGCACCAATTAAATTAGGTATCTGGTAACAAATACGTGTGGGTATAGACGATTTGTTATACAGTAAGTACAGTTGTATGCAGTAAAATCCTAGAGGATACCGTCCCTTTAAAAAAAATCAACCAGAAATGTACCCTCTAACCCCGAGTATGGGTCAGATCAAGAGTAGATAATAACACATTAACTATGTGTTATTATCTACTCTTGGTCAGATAAAAAGAGATAGAAATATACCAGTGAAAAAAAATACACGGGGGCTCGGGGCGATTTTTATGCACTCGAGCTTGAAAAGTAGCCCCCGAAAAATAAATAATATTTTTTTCCCTGAAATATACTAATATAGCATTATGCATTAATTATGTTATCAATTGGCAAAATACCAGGTGTAGTGTGCGTGATAGCAATACATAATGTCAGGCTGTGATGACATTGCAATTGGTTATTTCTCTTGCCTAAGTTCCGTAGTGTATGATGCCGATCTAAACATTGAAAAAATGGTGTCACGAGAGCATCAATACGCGAGGAGAGGCTTCTCTCGCCACGATACACATGCACTAGGAGTCTATGACAAGTGGGCTGTCAACATCTTCACCACACTTCAATCAAGGGTTATTGTACACACTTTAGGTATGTTGAGTGACATGGGTTAAAGGCATGGGGAGGTCCTTGGTACTATTTATATATTGATATTATGTGGTACCGTTTTATTGACACACCAAAGTTCAGACTGACCAAAGTTCAGATACTATATATATCATGTATATGCTATAACCAGAGGTTCATTTGATATAACTGATATGAGAAACCTTTAAACCCTACACTGTATGGCTCAGGTTGTAAATGCAATAAAATAGATAGACGCTGTTAAAACATCAACATTAATAACATTTATGTTATGATTGCCTTTGCTGCATACATTTCTCTACATAAAGTGGCTCATACAGACTTGATGTGCCACTTAAAATTTAATTACACACACAACATGGTGACGTTGGGGAAACTATAATCTCCGAATGAAAACTTTTCATAGTTCAAAGGACTATAACAAAGCTAGACCAAAACTAAAGACCACTGCCACAGGAGTTTTTCAAACAGAAAAGCCAGTCCAGCACAAAGTTCAAAAGTACTGACTCTGTCAAAACACTCACCTAAATACAGATTACACTTAGTACAGCTCATAGAGTCTATGTCCCCCAGGGTACTGCCAGAACGTACCATGGGTACGGTTCGGTATACCGGAACGTACCCTGGTAACTATTTGATATGGTTAGGGTTAGGGTTAGGGTTAGGGAGTAGGCGTAGGCGACTCCCTAGACTCGTTAGTGGAGTAGGCGAGGTACAGTCCGGCATATTAGATAGTACCAGGGTGTTCCGGTATACCGGACCGTACCAAGGGTACGTTCCGGCAGTACCCTGGGGGACATAGACCCTCTCAGCCTTAGTACAAAGTACATGCACCTCGTACACATACGTATGCAGACATTTTTATATAAACCAGTATCATTATTTATGACTCAACAAATTTAAACGTGGTTGCTTGAACATTGGTCAATAGTTAGTAGTGAAAAATAAATATATCTTTACATTGGGAGCGCCCACGCTACTCTAATCCAAAGGCAAACCCAAGAATGGATTTATGCCAATCATTATCATGGTAGCCTGAACTGAACATCTACGCATAAATTTTACTAGGTTCACATGCAGGCCATTCTAGCTGTCTTTGGCTGGTCTATGTTGTGCCATGCTACCAGAACTTTCAGAATGCTACTTTCAATTTAGACAGTGTGTTGACTTAAATTAAACAATATCAAAAACTAGTGAGGTCTGGAGCATTCTATATGGCAGATGAAAATGTTACTTTGGGTAGAATTTTGAGTGTACCATTGGTTGTATATTTTTCATCTAAATCTGGAGTTAAAACATACAGAAAAAACACACGAACTCTTGGATATTTGAAATGATTTTAGGAGTTATGGTGTAAGGAACAAGAGGTCTGAGCTATAACACCACAGGCCATGTTTCACTTATTGCTCAATAGCGATAATATTTCTCCTCAAAGTAAAAAATAGGTGCATTCCTTCAGGGGAATACCGGTGGTGAAGGGGAACTAAGGGGCACCAAACCACCTGGCTTGCTTTCACTACCAATATGTCATCATTGTGTTTAGGTTTTTTCAGGCTCTAACCTGGAGACCAAAAATTTATCTAAAGTTAGCTTCTGTTTACATATGGATTATAGAATGAGATATATACAAAAAGATCTTCTCTTTGTTCATCAAATTTTTGCTGTAGCACCCGAGTTCATTGTGAACTGCTGTTGAAATAAGGCTGGATGCAGGGTGAACTGATTGCAGGAACTAGGAGTAGGACATTTTGTATACAACACATGTGAATGTCAATGAGCTGTCTAATGAACTCATGTGATAACCATATATATGTTACACATGTCAATGTCCTGCCTAGCACTAGAACTATAGCCCTTTGAGTTTGATCTGCCAAGAGCTATAGTTCTAGAGCTATGTCCTGCCCAATTTGTCGGTAGCTGACTGCATATTTATCATATAAATTTTAATTACGGCAACTCATATATATATATATATATATATATATATATATATATATACACACACATATATATAATATATATTATTTATAATTTTTAAATCCTGCTTTTGAATGATATCAAGCATCCTGTTGCTAGTGTGCACATTCATACCTGCAGACTTGAGATGGTACGCTTAAATGCCTTTCTTTGCTTAACATAGTCCCTAGTCATCTCAAACATGGCCTCAGAACTGGACACACCTACTGCTGCCACGATCAGTCTCTCCTGTGGAAGCTCCTACATGAGACATAATTCATTAATAAACCCTTGTTTCATTATAAATGTCACGAATAGAATATGATATTCGGTTTGTACCTAGGATGAAAAACCTTTTAATCAGGTATCGGCCTAACCTAATTCTAGTTTAGCATATGCAGAGCCATCACTAACAATTGGTTTTAACACTGAGAATATAGTCGAATGACCTTCACTCTCACCTTCATCAGATACATAAAGCCATAGTTTTCCTCTCCCAGCAGTGCACTCGCAGGCAACTTCACATCTTCGAAGAACAGCTCAGCGGTGTCCTGAAACACACACACGTCAATAAGTAGCCATTGCTAGATAAGCTAGTGTCAAAAACCATCCCAAAAGCATTCAGATTGGTCTACAAGAGCTATACTACTAGTATATACCAACAGCCATTAAAGGGATAGTAGACTCTAGGATTTTACTGAATACAACTGTACTTACTGTATAACAAATCGTCTATACCCACATGTATTTGTCATCAGATACCTAATTTAATTGTTATAATTAATTACGCATCACTGCTACGAAATTTGAACGGCGCCATGACACCCGCGACCGTGCTGCCACCCTGAAAAACTTGCGTATTTGCCAATTTATTTTGCACGTTACAGACCGAGGGCTAATCACAAAGATGCAATTATATTCATACCTAAATGCTATTTAACCGAACGATGTTCATTTGAGGACAAATTTATCCATAATATAACTGAAACTATATGTCGTTTATAAGATATTACAATTAATCCTTTTGCTTTTAAAGGGACAGTAGCCTCTAGGATTTTACTGCATACAACTGTACTTACTGTATAACAAATCGTCTATACCCACATGTATTTGTCACCAGATACTTAATTAATTATTTACACATCAACGCTACGAAATTTGAACGGCGCCATGACACCCGCGACCGTGCTATTATTTTGCCATAAGGTAGTATGATTATGCATGACACGAAGTATTTGCTAGTCTAGTACTGGAGAAATTAGCGTTTGGATGCGCATTGTGAGCCTTTAAGTTACGTTGCACCCATGCTGGGTTTAAAAATTAAAACTATTTTACATTGAAACTATAGTTAGAATGCCTTGTTTTTATTGTTGAATCCCGCAGTTTTTTTAAATAAACGCTGCGGTGGTAAAATATCTGAACTACTTCACCCCCGGAGGAATGATGTGTATGAATCTTAGCGAGTATGACGCTCCAGCTGATTGTAGTTTTTCGCACGTGTTTTGCATAGCAACCGTTACTATGCAATTGCAGGCAAACGCATGTGTTTACACCTTACTTATCATGACCATCTGTATGTGATAAAGGCGAGAGTTAACCTCGTCATCGCTGGGCTTTGTTAGCCGAACAAAAACTTCTTCGGGAGATAACGTACGGGAGACGCGATCCCTGTCGCGCCACCTTCCAGTTGCTGTGTATGCGAATTTACCACTTGGCTACGACACACGACGGTAAATAACGTGAAAACCATGTCGTGCAAAAGTACGATTTAAGTCAAAACGAAGAATGCTACGCGGTTTGTAATACTACCGGAAGATGGAATAAGGACCAGTGAACAAAAGAAGCTCATGTTTGTATACATTTTATATTTTTACTCACATCAAACTCGTACGACAAAATTTAGTGAAATCAGTGCCAAATACGTATCAAACTCCTTTGTCTTTATTAACTCCTGATACTGATAGTACCAGTCTATGTATTGTACCAAGAGATAAATAATATACACAGAAAGGAGATTTGCCAAAGAATGGCCGGTAGTCAACATTTGATAGTCTGAAGTATAAACTGTGTTGAAGGTTCTGAATTGTAAGTTAATGAACTATTTGTCAGAATTCTCATAGGATGTTTAACTAGTACAGGAACAATACATCACAAAACCATAGCCCATGTAGTAACACAGTTGAGATTTTATATAATAGGCTATTAATAGCACACGAGCTTGGCATTGCTTATAATTTTATTGTTCGGTGAACTGAAGCAGCATGTTGGTTCAAAGCAGTTTTGTCAAATTTTATAGGGAAAAGCATTTTGGCAACATTTTTAAATGTTTGAGAATAAGATCCAATGAATAATTAACACGACATTATAAATCCCTGCCTAAGCATTACTGGTCATATAAGTTTTTATAATCTAGTGATGAATAATAAATCCAATAAAATAAATTAAGGCACAGCAGCCAGTGATTTCGTTACGAATGCCAGCATGATAGCCCATTACACTGATAGCCTAGCAGTCAATTTATTTTTTGGGGGCTACTTTTCAAGCTCGCCCGCATGAAAATAGCACTCTAAAATTTGGTTTCCATTGAATTCTATGCAATTTTCCGGGGCTCTTTTTGGCATTTCGGGGGGCTAAATCGCCCCGAGCCCCCGTGTATTTTTTTCACTGCACTATATAGTGTTAATTAATACTGTTATGCTCAAGCCTCAAAAACACGGATACAATTATATTTCCTCGCCCCTTTCTGATTTACTGTTGTAGCATTACACTTAGCAAAACGTTTTAGCTACAAAACTCTAGGACACAAATAACCCCAAAATATCCGCCAAATCGTTGCTCTCAGGTGAAAAAGCGAAGCATTGTATTGCAGATATAGAAGGATTTTAAAAGATAGCGGCAAGAGTAATAGTACCTATCAAACATTCATGAATGAACCTTTTCATTATCTTTTATAGTAACAGGCCCAAATGCTTTTGCAAGAGGCCGTGGCAGAGTGCGGGGGGGGGGAGAATCCCCCCCCCTAAATTTTTTTTCAAACCTAGATGTTCTGAGATGCAATCTGGTCTATTCTGAGCTGTAGTAAACAGACACATTTGAATTACAGTATGGTTCTTTTTTCCAATTTGGTTTCTCCTGGGCCTAGATTCATCATTGGTACGTAAGTTAACGTCCATAGGCAGGCATCCTACGAAATGCGTACGTAACGTTCCTGAGGTTAATTCATCAAGCCGTCAGGACTAGCCCGTGCGTAGGCATATCGTTAATGAGTTGCACATAACCCCGTTAGTAGCAGCCGCATTCTTTCCTCGCTGCAGTATTTCATGTGACACCGTTTGTTGCCATACTCGCAGATAGGGCCTGCATACCTCCCAAAGTTATACTCGGCCAGGTTTTTAACGCATTCTAACTCTAAAACTGTTACGTTAAAAATTCTTAAAATATTTACATAAACAGGCAAGACGGTTGTCATTTTGAATACGATTGACCTAAGATACCTTGACTCGATTGCAACACTGGCTGGTCAAATATAGACAATATGACGCGGGCGATCTAGCGGATGTGGTAGCAACTTTCGTGTGCATTATTGCTACTGCACTAAATATTTTGATTGTCCTCTCAGGAGTATACAGCAGAATGCCACCGGATTTGTATAGAATGCGGAATCTTCAGTGCTCGAAATAAGCGTTGTCCGGTTGTCCGAGACAACCAGAAATTGCGCCGGACAACCTAACCAGTCTGAGACATTGTCCGGTGGACAACCAAAAAACACTATCTCTAACCCTTACACTAACTCTAAACCGACTCGGCTATCTTATATACGCGTGGTACCCAATTAATCTATGGTGTATAACCTTTTGCTTTCAATATTTTACATCTGAACTGACAATCAATCCCATGCAACCAACTGGTATAGGCTAGCTGGCACAATAATGTTCAGTTTCATACTTCAAATCCGAGTGTTTTCTAGCTCATCAACAAATCTTAATCGTGAATTAAATCGTGAATAATATAAAAATATGGGACCAGCTGCTATTTCCAACACTGGTATAATATCATATGTCAGGTTTTCTGATTTATGAGAGGTGAACTCGATTTGAAACCAGCAAACCAGCAAGTTTCCAAAATTTTCTGGGGAAGGACCCCCATACCCCCCGCAATATTGAATCTTATCCACACGGCCGCCGTGCGTATAGGCACTTCCGTCAGTGTCACAGTGACTGTGTCAGTGACTAACAGTCACAGACGCTGACTGTGACTGTGACGGACAGTCACTGCATGGGGCCATGATAAAAATATTGTTTGTTTGCCCCCTCACCCGACTGACCCGCCAAAAAGGGGCCGACTGAAAAAAATGTATTAATCATTTTTTTACAAATTGTATCACTGTACATTATATAAATCTGTAAGCAATACATTATATGTACCAAGCAAAACAAACACGTACTCAACATAAAAGGTATCTCCACACAAGCACACCCGAGCATGTAGACACTATGCTAAATTTGTAAAAAGACCCATTTAAAAAAAAAGCCTACCTACATACCCAAACTTTTCAGCCGGGGTCAGCTGAGGGCAATTTAAGGAAATTTTTTTTTAATTGTGGCTTGACAGCTAGTTGACACAGTCAGTGACTGTACGTGTCAGTGACACTGTCAGTGCCACTGTGCTGCATGCCATGGGAAGTAACCTCATAGTCGTAGTTGGATGTAACCTCGTAACTAATAAAGATTGATGTAGGGATTTGATAAAATCGATAGAACACTGCCGATTGCACTGGAAAACGTTTCCATTCTACAATTAACCATATAATCGGATTGGTTATTGTGAAGATAGCATGTCTGAGAGTTAAACATGACAAAGTAAATAATTCATCTATGACACATCCATGTGGGAAATTAAAGTTTTATAATGTTATTAACACTGAAAATACAATTAAATCTAGCACAGGCCATAATAAAAATATTGTTTGTTTGCCCTCACCCGACCGACCCGCCAAAAAGGGGCCGACTCAAAAAATTTTATTGATCTTTTTTTTAAAACAAATTGTATCACTGCACATTATATAAATTGGTAGGCAATACATTATATGTACCAAGCAAAACAAGCATTCAACATAAAAGGTATCCCCACTCAAGCACACCCGAGCATGTAGACAACATGCTAAATTTGTAAAAAGACCCCCCCCTGCCCTAAAAAAAAAGCCGACCTGCATGCCTACCCAAACTTTTCAGCCTGGGTCGGTTGAGGGCAAACAAAGATCGGAGTGGCCACAGAGATTCCTAAAGTTCTTATCCATCTTCTACTTGCAGTTTGTTGTGGTTATCTATATGACAAGTGAACGACATCCTGTCATTTGCCGCAGTGAAACTGAGGAATATTTTGTTGACCCAGTTTCCAGTACCAAAAAAAGGTTTCCGAGTCTTTCAGCACCGGCAGAGCTTCAACTGTCTGTTATTGTGCCTGCATACAATGAGCAAGAAAGGTGTAAGTACCACAGAGGACCTAAGGTTGACTTACTTACATCTAAGTATTATGAGGTAAAGATGAAGATTCATTTTTGGCTGGAGTGGAGGGTATAGATGTTACTAGTTGTCAGCATGTTTACATCAGTGACAGTATGTTTAGCACCCATTTCAAGTGGTTAGTTGAGCATTAACCAACTTCTGCAATATATCTTGTTAATTAATGTGATGCATAAAATAATAAATGCCATAGACTGTAAGTGTCACTTTGTCTGTTTTAGTGCCCAAGATGATGGATGAGTGTCTGGATTACTTGGAAGCTAGAAGAGTAAGTACACATGCAGTGATAGTGTATATGGTTCGGTTAGCATAATTGATGTCATTGGTGTCTATTGTATGTCATTTTCATACAATAAATGGAATGGTTCTTATTTTTATTCCTTGGTGAAAATAAAATAAAATGTAGTTTCATTTTTTGTGCCATTTCAATTGTACTGTCTGGCTGAAAAACCAAGACCCTAATACTACCATCTTCGATTTACAGAAAGAAAGTGAACATTTTCAGTATGAAGTTATTGTGGTAGACGATGGGAGCAGTGACAAAACAACAGAGGTTGGTATATGATGTGTGTGTGCTTGCTCTGCTGAATTGTTAAGCCTAGCAGGTATTTAATGTCCAATAGTTGCTAATATATAACATTGCTATTGTCTAACTCAGTATATATTGTCACACCTTTTAGGTCGCACTGAAGTATTCTCACAAGTTTGGTACGGATAAAGTTAGAGTTCTGACTTTTGAGAAAAATAGAGGAAAGGGAGGAGCAGTGAGACTAGTAAGTAAAGTCAAAACACACTTAGGTAGGAAGTTTCAATCTGTATTGTACAAGATATAATCTACAACTGTGGAAAACTAATCTGTAATACAACACATTTTGTAAAGAATATTGTAAAGAACACATATTGTAAAGAAATAAAAAATGATAGCAATGTTGAAACAGTGTTATTCTATTATAGGATTATGGTTAGAATTTCACCAAATCAATTTTGCTTTATATCTACCGGTGCTCTCAACCCCTATTACATATATCTGTTTATCTAAGTGATAATATTGTAATATGCATTTATCCATTCATTCATGACAGGGTATGATGAGTTCAAGAGGAGAACATTTGCTGTTTGCTGATGCTGATGGTGCATCTAGTTTTCCTGACTACTCCAAAGTGGAAATGAAAATGAGGAAAATATGTGATAGTAATAAGGTAATTCCAACAAATATTTTTAGCCATCTTGCAAAAAAACATCATTGCTGTATGGAGAAGACTCACATAATAGACTCAGGCAGCAGCAGCCACAACAGCAATGGTAACAGATGTTACAGGAGTAGCAACAGTTGTTGTAGGAGCAGCAGTGGTAGTAGTAGCCACAGGCAGTAACAACAGCAGCCATTCAATTGAGTAATTTTTGGTCTTGCAGACTAATGAGGCGATAGTTTGTGGATCAAGGGCTCACTTACAAGACGAGGCTGTTGCAACAGTGAGTGTGATGTTACTTCTCGTTTATGCATGCACCAGATTTAAATTTTTCTGCTTCCTTATAAAGTTTCACCAAGGAAACTTCACAATTGTGACATTCTTAGGCGTTCTGCCATCGTCTGTTCTATATTCTATTATATAACTATCTAAAAAATATCTTGGACTTTACAAAGAATATATGTCTATGCTGGTACAATGGCTATGCTGGCCCTCCTTAAAAGTCAGAGACTATTGTGCATAACGAGGGGAGAGGTGTTAAATGATGTTGCCACTTATTGAGTTATTGAATCTGCATTGCTTCAGTAGTTGGTTATCTGTAATGTACAGTCACAAAAAGTGTGAACCTAATGATATTTCTGCCTTACGCTTGACTCTAGAAAGTCAATCGTTGTATGAATATTTTTTTCTCAATAATTAGCATTTCAAGTATCCATTATCATTGTAAGTGTCCATTATCATATTGATTTCAGCGTTCCTTATTTCGGACTTTGTTGATGCACGGATTTCACTTCATGGTCTGGTTGCTATGTGTAAGAGGCATCAGGGACACCCAGTGTGGCTTTAAGCTTCTCACCAGGCAAGCAGCTCGGTCAACCTTCAGTAACCTTCATGTCGAACGCTGGTGAGTGTTAGCGAGTGCCCGGTCCACAGGGGCATTTTATACTCTGTATTTATAGAGGATCATGCAGGGTTTCTTCTGAGGGAAAATTAGACAAAGGAGGTAATGGCCAGTTTGGGAAAAAAACGCGCACGTTGGATTCAAATACAGGATGTATTGATATAGATATAGGATATACTTATCAGTAAATAGTAAATACAGGAACATTTTCACAACGCCGATGTTAAATTTGACAACGGCGGTGCACCACTGTGCCTCCTATGTATAAGAAACCCTGATCATGTATTGTGAAGGTTGGACAATTGAATTATTGTTGTCAACTTTCATACTAGTAGTGTTACCGTAGAACATAAGCAGGTTTAGTTTATATTTGATGGCTATAATTTATGTTGCTACAAAGTTATCAGTATCATGCACTCACATCATAATTATGTAAGTAGTCACCTTCTTTCCTTCCTTCCTTCACTTTACAATATAACTGCAATAAAAGGATACAAGGATACACAAACACTCAGCCATGATACGATGTGTTTACGTTTATCATTGCTTGCTTTTTGATCTCTGTCCTTTTGATGAAACGGTTATAAATTCTCACTATAGCCCGCGTTCGCGGCCTGCGGCAGTTTATCGAACGCGGGCTATAGTACTACTACTAGAGCTACGTGTGGATGGGATGGCATGCGATGGCATGGGATAGATGGGATGGAACCAAGCGGGTTGAAGTCAACTGAGTAACGCCTACCTCCCATAGCCTAGCGCCTAGTCTCTCTACTCACACCTTCGGTGCTCGCATTGGGGGATTTAGATATAGGTGCCTGTGGGCAACGCCGGGTATCCGCTAGTACCTGAATATTCTTCAACATCCAAGAACCTGATACTGTCGCTGTACTACTAGGGCCTACTAGTTTTAAACACGCGCGCTATGCTTACCGCTTTGAAACTGCTGAAGCAGTTCCGAGAATACGCTGACTTCTCAATAAATGTTGAGGCAAACGGTGACAGATTCTAAACGCAGACATGACAGAACTGATTGGTTGCCAAGTGCTGAGCCCTGAGCCAAGTGCTCAAGTTGACAACCAGTTTTTCCCCACGAGATGGCAGTCCAGAATAGACGGCACATTTGTCCATAACTTGCAGCTCCAGGGGACAATGCGCTATAAGTTCAGGAACAGTGAGCCCATCTAAGTCGAGTAACCATAATAGAGGTAACCAGATAACTAGCTGGTAGGTGCAATTATTTTAATATCAGTATAAACTATGTATGGTTTAAATTTATAGTAATATAAACCTAGTTTTATTACGGTAATAATTTAGTATATGCGATACGATTGTTGTGTTTAAAATAAAATGAATGAATGTGAAAAAAAAAGCCGTATATTCAATGTTCATCAGTAATTTTTGCCAGACCAAATTCAGATTTTAGTGTACTCCAATCTCAGCCTGACGTCACGAATTGTAGCGCTGAGTTGGCAGCGTTATTTGCATCAGTTCATTTGTAAATACACACATTTTGCAGTATTTTTCACATTTTAGCATCATGTTATTAGACCCTGATGTCATAGTTTTGATAGTATACTTGTTAACTGCAGGAACTGCGTTCCTTCTATGTATGGTACGTTTTCTATCCAGCAATATTCAATAAGTTAATTTCTCATCTTAGCAAACTCGATAATAGCAGTGTCAGTGTCAGTGACAGTGACTGTGTCAGTTGACAGTGTCATGACTGTGTCAGTTGACAGTGTCATGACTAGCTGTCAGTTGACAGTGTCAGTGACTGTGCAGTGACTGTGTCAGTTGATAGTTGACAGTGTCAACTGACAGTGTCAGTGATGGCCGAGACTATACGCACGGCGGCCGTGTAGATAAGATTCAATATGGCTATACGCACGGCGGCCGTGTGGCGGACTCAATATGGCTATACGCACGGCGGCCGTGTGGATAAGATTCAATATGGCTATACGCACGGCGGCCGTGTGGCCAACTCAATATGGCTATACGCACGGCGGCCGCGTGGATAAGATTCAATATGGCTATACGCACGGCGGCCGTATGGCCGACTCAATATGGCTATACGCACGGCGGCCGTGTGGATAAGATTCAATATGGCTATACGCACGGCGGCCGTATTAGTAGAGGTTCTAAGCACATGGAGT